CAAGGTCCTGACGTGCCCCCCTACGTATGGCATGTACAGTGTCAGCGCACAGACCAATGATGTCGAGATCGTGCAGGTACCACTGGACGTGAACAACGACTTCCAGCTGCAGCCGGACAAGATTAACGAGGCCCTGTCGGCCGACCCCTCGATCAAGCTGGTGTACATCTGCTCCCCCGGCAACCCCACCGCCAACCTGATCAAGAAGGCGGACATCCAGAAGGTGCTGGAGCACCCGACGTGGAACGGTGTCGTGGTGGTGGACGAGGCATACATCGACTTCGCGCCGGAGGGCTCGAGTCTGGCCGAGTGGGTCAATGACTGGCCAAACCTGGCGGTCATGCAGACGCTGAGCAAGGCCTTTGGTCTGGCGGGCATCCGATTGGGCGTGTGCTTCACGAGCCCCCCGATCGCGACGCTGCTGAACAGCCTCAAGGCGCCCTACAACATCTCCAGCCCCACGAGTGCACTTGCGACCGCGGCGCTCTCCCCCACCCACCAGGCCGTGATGCAGAAATACCGCGACCTGATTGTCGCCCAGCGCGACCGCCTGGCCCAGGAACTGCCGCAGATTCCCGGTATCGGGCGCTTCCGTGGCGGCAAGGAGTCCAACTTCCTTCTGGTGGAGATCCTGGACAAGCCGGCCAGCGAAGGTGGCAAGCCCAGCAATGTGATCGCTCAAGCGGCTTATGAGGCCATGGCCGAGAAGCGTGGTGTTGTGGTGCGCTTCCGGGGTAAGGAACTCGGGTGTGAGGGCTGTCTCCGCATCACGGTGGGCACGGAAGAGGAAGTCACCAGATTCCTCCGGGAGATTCGAACCGTTCTCGGTGGTCTCCACAAAGGGGAGAGCATTGACTCTGTGAGAGGGCAAGTGAGCCAGAACTGAATTCGGGGGAGGTAGGCTTGCTTGTCTTGGCGGTATCCTCGGGGAAATCTAGATTCTTTGGGTTGTTGGGTAATATCGGGCAATTTCCTGGAGCCTAACCTAACTAACTGAACTAACTGAACTAACTAAACTAAATGAACGTAACTTACACTAAGTTAGTCAGAGACAGACCATGCATAGATAGAAATTCGATTTTCAACGCAGCGCAATGCAAATCCCGGCTCCTCCTCTACCTAGCGTAACGTATGCTGCCGGCAGTTCCTTGAACAGCTGGACCTACCCCTGACCAGCTTGCAGACCACGTATACGTACGTATACGAACAGGGGAGTTAAAAGGTAGTAACCGGCGTCTATGCTGTGGCTCAACACTTATCTGTCCCTGGCTCGCAAACAAAACCCATGGATACAATATCCCTTCCGTATATTACTCCGGAGATTGTAGAACGAATCAAACCAAAGTGCTGTATCTAAGCTTTTTTCTCTCTTCCTCTAGTATCCAGGATACGTAGTGCTCATATGATTGATTGCTGGCAGAGCACCTCGGGTGTCCACGGTATCGAGGCAACCGACCAGGATTCATTTCGAATAAAGGACGCCTGACTCGCGCATGGAGACTTGGCTATCGGGTAATTGGGGGGAGTCGTGTGCACTCCGTTTTCTCTGCGTAAGGAAGGTTTGGATAGTACAGGTTGGTGAGTGTTTCATGTTTGTAGTCCGTAGTTGAGAAGGTGATAGACTATCTTCCCTGAGCTTGGAGATGATGTGATGTGATTGATGTCTGTCCGGATGTGCAAACAAATCGGGGATCGGCCTTTCCCTCGTGTTGGCAGATCCGCTTATCTCCACTCCCTCACCCACCCTCGAAGACTTCTTGAGTGATACAATGACTTTATCGCATGTTCAAGAGGCGGGCAATGGGATTGCTTGCATACGAAACCTAATCTGGTGTCCCTTTCACCCGCACGTGTTGTTGTTCTTCTCTCATATGTCAAGTTTCTCTCCCTCCGTGTTTTCCAGCAGCTCCAGCTCCAGCTCCAGCTCCAGCCTCCTCCAGCTCCAGCTCACATGCAGCAAACGAAGGAAAGAAAAGCAAATCCAAACCAAACCAAGAGTCCGGTGGCAAATGGACAATTGGGAATATCACAAGCTTGCAACCCATCTGCTGCTGGGCTTCGTATCCGACCAGCCTGTCATATCCCAACCCATTGGCTGACTTAAACGCCATGGTGCAATCCTGGCTCTATCGCTTCTCTCTGGCTGGTCCATTGCCTCGACTCCTTCTGGTCCAAATTTCCCCGACTTCCGTCAAATCCAGCCTTGACCAAGATAAGGCCCAGGCGCCTTCGTGCCCCCCCCCCCCCTAAATTTCCGTCGGCCAGCGTTATCTCCTCACCGGCCAGCGAAGTTTATCGGAACGCCTTGACCCCAACAGCCAGATCCTGGCTTGCCATGAGTCCCACTGAGAATATAACATGGTTCACCAGCCGGGCTGACCATCACGATGGTGCCAACGACCTCGGGCTATCGTCTTCCTAAACCATACCCTTGCTGGCTCTGGTTCGACGCGGCGCTCATCGCGCGACTCGGTCGCAACCGGAATCTTCCCTAGAAGATCCCCCCAAACACACCTCTCGGTTGACTGCGGACCTGGATATAATAACTTCGACGTCACAACGGCGGTGAATCCGGATGTGTTTCGCGCCTCCTCCCACTGTTGACAAGTTGACAACCTCTGCTCCTTTCTCGTCGCTCGTGAGAAAGTAGTGTCATGTTCAACCTCTTCCGGGATCTTACTCAAAGGGGTTTCTCCCGCCATCTTCCTTTCTTAGCAGTTACGCAGAAAATCACACGGTTAACATCTTCTCCACCCACCGAGAACCTCTGTTTGGAAGTCCGACTGTTTTATTCTCCGGGGCTCCTCTTCTTGGCCCCGGCTTCTCCACACGTACCCCAGTCCGAGGGCACGTGCTCATCGATGACATTTCTCCCGATTTGAGACATTCGAATGCGAAGCGAAGTACCATTATAGTATACCATAATCCACTTCCAGGCGTGCAAAACACGCCATCACCTACAGATCGAGATCGCCCTTCCATAGCGTCCTCTGGCCCCTCTTCGGAGGTGGCTCGGCGGCCATGAGTATACAATGGATGCTAAATTCTCGTGGGCTTTTCGACAGCACGCCCCCAAATCCTCGAACGAAGCTGGACAACAACTCCACCCTTCTTGTTAGCTGGTGGGCGACTGGCTTTTCCCTTGCAATCATTGTCACTCGAGTCTGCGGGCGCTACGTCCGGACCGAGCGTTTCTTCATGGAGGACAAGGTTATGCTAGCCGGCGTGATTCCGCTCCTGATCCGCATGGCCTGCGTGCATGTCATTTTGATATGGGGAACAAATAATACGAAGACTGCCGGCCTGTCCATCGAAAACATCGATCATAGGGTTGTGGGCAGCAAGCTGGTATTGGTCGCTCGGATCTTCTATGCTGTCTTGTGAGCGATCGAATTTCTCTGCTGATTTCGTGATTTGACACATGCACTAATACAGCCCAATGGGAGCAGTATCTGGACGGCGAAGTTCACAGTATGCGAGTTTTTGAAACGTGTCTCGGGCATGATCTGGCGGCGATCCCTCGACATCTTCCGCAAATCGCTCTACTATTTCTTGGCCTCGACCCTGCTCGCGGTCGTCATTGCTACTCTCGCGGAGTGCTCTCCGTTTGACCATTATTGGCAAGTCGTGCCGGATCCAGGGCCGAAGTGCCGTCTTGGGTATGCGAATCTGATCGTGATGGGGACCTGCGACGTGATCACAGATTTGCTTCTGGTTGCATTTCCGATCCCGTTCATCATGATGACTCACATGCCTTTGAAGCGCAAAGCCTCTCTTGTTATCTTGTTCGCCTTATCTTTGATTCTCGTGGCAATCACTCTCTACCGGGTGCCGTCCGTCATCTGGCATGATGGAGAGCAACAGTACCGATCGCTTCTGGCGTCGCTGGAGATACTGGTCGCCACAGCAGTGTCCAATGCTGTTGTGATCGGTTCCTTCGTGCGAGACAAGGGCGTCAAGAAGAACAAATTCAAAAAGGCCCTGGCATCCGCTTCGGTCAGTGAGAACATGGACTATAGCTCCTTCCGCCGCCAGACCATCACCCACCATCAATGGGGCAGCGATTCAGACCTGGCTGCAGGCCTGGGAATCCGTCTGAAGCCGGAATTATGCTCTTCAGACAGGGATCTGCCCCGTCCTGCGCCGGTCGCTGCTCCTTATCACACCCTCACAGGCCGTCCCAGCGGCCTACTGAGTCCGAACTGGTCTTTCCCTCAACGACCGGGGGGCATGGACGATGACCACACGTCTACCACAGGCAGTCTCGACATCAAAGTCAGCCCCCATGAATATATACCGACCAGCATTTCTCCTCCGCACAGGATGCCCAGAGAGGTTTCATCCCCCACTCAGCTCTCCATCTTCGATGTAGGCGGCCTGCTCAACGCGCCTACTCCCACAACCGCGCATCCGTCCCACTACCCCGATCACCAACCGCGCCATTCCAGCGGCAGTAGTAAATCCGCCATTTACGACTTCGGGGCTGCCGTCTCTCCCTCCGGCTCGCCGGACCTGAACCCAGATCCCAATGCGACCTACCCTCATCACGCAATCCCACCATCTCCAGCCGCCCCAAATTCTTCTTTCCGCTCTGGCGGCCTGCGCCGTAGCTCTCTTGCGTCGAATCGTCGCAGGGCATCGAGCGTTCACTTCAGCGATTCGCCGGAGTCACCTGTGCCGTCCTACCGCTCCCAACCGGAAGTATCGACCCCGATCCCAGAGGGCGATGATGTCGAGCTCCAGGATGTGGGAGGATTGCTGTCGCGGCGGGGATGACCGCTGCGGACCGTGCATGATGGATGACCTCCGTATCGTGCCTGTATTATTATCAGTTTTGTGTCTTTGCTTTGAGCTTAGCGTGTTTCACTGGGACTGGCCCGGGGTTTGACGGCGTTCGGCATGATTTTATGAGATATACCATATAGTATAGTAATGTTGAATCAGCATTGGTGGAATCCCACTGAAAGGGTTCGTGTCTTGCTTACAGAACCCACTTGGAGATTTGTTGTAGTGAGTGTGCAAAAGGCTATGAAACAATATGTAGAGTAGTATTCAGGTGAAGCTACCAGTCACCAAATCATCGAACCATGGGTAAAATAAAAAACGAAAACACATCGAGTTTGGTTAGAGAATAACTTTTTCGCCCTTACGCCATGCTGCCCGATGCCTGTAATTAGACAAATATTTTTCTTTCTTGTTTTTCTTTGCTCTCCATCTCTCCCTGGGACCCAAGTTTCCATGATGCATCATAGTACATGGAAGGTAAGAGTCTCCCAATCATCCCACCATCCCCATCACCCCCTCTCTCAGCCCCAATCCCATCCCAACAAATCAAAGGGTCTTTTAAAGCACCCACCGATAACTCGCATACCGCCCAGCCGTCTCACTCTTCCGAATAATCTTGACGACCTGGCCCTTCCGCAGCCCGAGGTACCGGGCGACGGGGTCCGTAAACTGCATGCGGGGCAGCTGGGACTCCTTGAGGCGGTAGCGCTCCAGCAGGCGAGCCTTCTCGTCCGGGCTGAGCAGCACGTGCTTGGGCACCAGCTCGTGCCGGGTGATGTTGACCAACAGATCCTGCTCCTGGAAGTGCTCGCAGATGCGGCCGGGCACGCCGCTGAGCAGGCGCACCGCCGAGGGGGAGATCGGCGTCTGCGTGATGAACACCCCCGTGTGGAAGTTGTTCTCGTCCACGAAGTGGTTGAACGCCCGGACTTGCTTCGTGCCCACGCCGGTCGAATCCGGGCAGAATTCCACGTAGATCGTGCCGCAGTCGGGCTGCGGGGACGGGTTCGATTTGCTGGGTAAGGGCGTGTATTTGGTTTGCATGGCTTCGGTGGGACGCGCGCTGATTTTCATTTTGTTGCGGCTGGTGCACGGGGAGGAATTGTTAGTCAGGGTTTGAAGGGAGAGAAGGGAGGGGGGGGGGGAGTGGGTGATGTACTCGGGGTATCCTAGAGGGTCGGAATATTTTCGCTTGAAGTCCGCGAGCGGGATTTGCACTTCGTCTTCGGTGACTTCGTAGCCCTGTTTTTCCCATGAAGATATTAATATGGATGATCGCACGGCTCAAAAAAAGCTGAGGGGGAGGCTCACCCGGTCCAGAAGCATCTCAAAGACGGTTCTCCATGTGCGCCAGAGTCTGGTCATCTCGCGGTCGGCGTCCACCGACCCGGTCGAGTAGTCTTCATCCATGTTGAGTTGGTAACACGTCGCGCGTGTGAGCAGGCGATAAAGATCAGAGGGCGATAGGGGCCGAGACGACAACGACCGAGAACACGCAAGTGGAGGTGAAAGAAAGCTGACCGGGCAAAACGTGCAGGTCAAAGGCGGATGCGAGAGTGTAAAATGAGGGCGGGTTTCTCGAAAAATCGGCGGACCGGCGCTAATGGCGCCAAACGGGGAACTTTTAAGCGCCGCCCGCCCAGACAGTCACACAGAGAGCGGCCAGGCCGAGCAAAAGAGCACGAGTTCCTGTTGTTGACTGAACTGAACTAGACTGAACTGATTGCCGACTAAACTTACTGACACTGCGGACTGACTCCCTATCCTTTCCCTTCCCTTTCTCTCTCTTCTTCCTCCCCTCCCCCTCTCTCTCCTCCCTCTCTCAGCCCCCACTCCTTTCTCATTTGGGTTGATTTCCTTCCAAATTGACTGATTGATTTTATTCTAAATCAATCTTTTTCTTGCCTGGCAATTGCTCTTCTCCTTCACCTCATCTCAATCATGTCCGCCGACGCCAAGGCCGCTCCTGCCACGGAGCAGAAGGTGAAGCCCACCAAGCCCAATGAGGAGACTTTCAAGGCCGATTTGGCCCAGGCCGAGAAGGAGCACGCCGCTGTGCAGGAGAAGCTGGTATGTATTTCCTTGTTTATGGCTTAATTGGCCTTACACCACGCCTCGGATTGCTTGCTTTACGGGGGTTCTCCGTTGCGGCACCGTGGCCTCTTTTTCCTTCCTCCCGGTTCTACGGCTTTCTTTCTGTGCTACAGTTCTTCCCAATTGCCATGGTCCCGGTCATCACATGCTGGCATTGAGCTAACCCCCCCGCCCAAGAATGAAATCAAGGCCAAGATCGAGACCGCCAAGCCCAACAACCAGGACTCGCCCACCGCGAAGAGACAGCAGGAACTCCGCGCCGAGCTGTCCTCGATCCGCCAGAAGCAGTCGGGCTTCAAGGCCGGCCGCTCCAGCACCCAGGAGAAGATCAACGCCCTGGACGCCACGCTCAAGGCCCGTATTTCCGAGCAAAACAACTCGCGCGGACGCATGTCCTTCAAGAACGTCGAGGAGCTGGACAAGGAAATCGCCCGTCTTGAGAAGCAGGTCGACTCCGGCACGCTGCGCCTGGTCGACGAGCGCAAGATCCTCTCCGACGTCTCCACCCTGCGCAAGCAGCGCAAGAACTTCGCCGGCCTCGAGGAGGCCCAGAAGGCCATCACCGACCTGAAGAACCAGATCGCCGCGCTCAAGAAGAGCCTCGACAACCCCGAGGCCAAGGCCCTCAGCGACAAGTACAACGAGATCCAGAAGGAGCTCGACGCCATCAAGGCCGAGCAGGACAGCGCCTTCAAGAACCTGAACGCCCTGCGCGACGAGCGCACCAAGCTGCACGCCGAGCAGCAGAAGAAGTGGACCGCCATCCGCGAGATCAAGGACAACTACTACAAGGCCCGCAAGGCGTACAAGGAGTACGAGGACGAGGCCTGGCGGGTCCGCCGCGAGAAGCAGAAGGCCCAGCGCGAGGCCTTCGAGCGCGAGAAGCGCAAGAAGGTCGCCGACAAGAAGCTGGAGGAGGCCTCCCGCCCGGCCTACACCGACGAGATCCTGATCGGCCAGGGCCTGATCCGCCACTTCAACCCCGCCTACGACTTCGCTGCTCTGGGTCTGGACGACAAGAAGGACGAGGGCTCCAACTTCCGCGCGGAGATCGGCCGTACCGTCGATGATTCCGGCCTGAAGGGCATGAAGGTCCTGAAGAAGGATGACGGCGAGGACTACTTCGTCGGCACCGGGGGCAAGAAGGGCAAGAAGGGTAAGAAGGGCGCCAACGGTAGCCCCGCCGCCGCCGCTCCGGCCGAGACCAAGTTCAACCTGAACGTTGGTGTCATTGAGGACTTTGCCAAGGTCAAGATCGACCCTCCCATGAACCAGGCGGATGTTCCTGCCGTGATTGAGAAGCTCGCGGCCAAGATCACCGAGTGGAAGAAGAACCAGGCCTCGAAGACCGAGGAGGTGAGTTTTGCGTTCTGTCTCATGTTTGTCGTGACTATTGCTAACTGTATGCGTAGAACATCAAGAAGGCTCAGGAGGAGATTGCCCGCCTGGAGGCCGAGGAGACCGCCGCTGCCAAGGACGACCGGGCCACCGACGGCGCCAAGAAGGTGGCCATCAAGAACAGCGGTGTCAACGGCAAGGTCTCTGCGGATGCTGAGCTCAAGCAGGAGAAGGACGCTGTCGCCGACGTGACGGAAGAGCTCGAGCAGGCCACCGTCGAGGACCAAGCCTAGATGTGCCGCTCCGACGCATACCTAGTAGACCATTGCATTGCACCTGCATTTTGATCGCACCAGCGACTGCGCATGGTTAGAACCCAAAAGCTGACTATATATTCGTGTGACTTTGGTTCTTTTCTTTGCATCTACCCTTATAACTTTCCTATGATCTCTGTGGCTCCTATCACCCTCAACCCTACTCCTCCCTGCTCTTCCGACCTGCTCCTCCTCCCTGCTCCTTTGATGAGAAGGAAGCCAATATACACGGGTATTGGTGACCCCCCTTGAAAACCGTGCGGTTGTATGTTGGGACCGGCTTTGGGGCTGGTCTGTTTCCTTCTTGTGTAATCAATTTCATCTATTTCCTTTTTCTTGTCATACCTTTTCCTTGCTGAATCCGTTGATGAACCTGGGCGAAAACGATAGCGTTTAGCGAATCTAATTGCAGCGTGAAGTGGTTTTGGTGAATGGATCGCTGTAGAGAAGAGATCGAGATTGGGAGTGGCAATGTTCGTATACTGCGTAAGTGTAAGATCATGTTCTGGAATGCCCCAGATTTGCGATAAGATAAGAGGGGCTGTCGGGGTGTCATGAACCCATCCGCCGCGTCAGTCTCGGGAGACCTGCAGATCCGTCACGATCAGCAGTATGCCAGTAATGCATGGATGTTTGTGCTAGGCAACTCCGAAGCATAACTTAACAGACTGAAGATGCGACGTATGGCATCCCACCCACTACACAATGAACAGTCAATGGATCTCCCCCTAAACTAGAAATAACACCGCCACAATGGCTGCGCCATCGTCCCAAGACCCAAGAAACGAGGCCGAGGAATTACGTGGAGATCCGCCCAATCGGTTGCCTAATCCGGGATCCCGCCAAGGGAGTTCGCGGCTGCCATGGCATTTTCCGACTTACTCTTCTTGTCTCTCTCTCTCTCTCTCTCTCTCTCTCTCTCTCCCTCCCTCTTCCTCCCGAACATCTACTACACTGTAGCCTTGCTCTTCGCATATCTCACCCCCTGGACTGCTACTCTTCTATCCGATAGAAACAACATCCTTCGTCTCACCGGGACAATCACAAAGATGTCCTACAACAAACCCGTACGTTCCCAGCCTTATCCCCAACCTTATCCTATACCCCAACCCCATCCTCCACCTCACTCAAACTCACCCAACAAAACCACACCGGTGTATACTATACTAACCAAAAGAAAAAAAAAAGGACAACCCACCCCCCTCCTACCCCTCCCCCGTCCACGACGCCGGACCCTACCACTACCAACAGCAACAGCAACAAGGCTACCCACCCCCGCAAGGCGGCGCCTCCCAGGACTACTACAATCAAAGCGGCGGCGGCTACCCCCCACAGCAAGGCTACGGCCCCCCTCCGCCAGGTGGTGGCGGCTACTACCCCCCTCCGCAGGGCTATCCAGGCTCGCCGCCCCCGCAGCAGCAGCAGCAGCAACCGATGTACTATCCGCAACAGCCACCGCCGCCGCAGCAGGGGTACTATGCGGGCGGGGATCGGGGCGGCGGGTCGTCTGGTGGGGGCATGTGTGCGGGTATCATGGCGGCGTTGGCGTGTTGTTGTTGTTTGGATATTTTGTTCTAGGGTGGTGGATTCTTAAAGTCTGTGGGTTGGTGATGGATGGATAGTGGTGTGGTGTGGGTGATGATGGATGGATGGATGGATGCCTTTATACCAACTCTTATTTATATGGGGATGGGTGGGGGTGTTGGGCGCTGCGTTTCTTTTGGCTTGAGTATTGGATTGTGCTGGTTTTGGGGTTGGGTCTGCTTTCAGTCTAAACGGTTCTTGGTGTTTGTGTTTTTGCTTTTACTTACTTTTACTGTGGGACTTGTTGTTCTTGCTCTGGGCTGAGATGGAACGCTATACCACACCTTACCTTACTCCATTGACAATCGCCATATCGATATTCAAACATACTATGGCCTATGGCATAAATGTCATCATTATCATTAAACCTAACTCACTAAACTCTTCATATAAATGCAGCATATCTCATAACTCATGCATCTTTAGACATCATCCTCGTAACGATCCCAACACGAAACAAAACAAAAAAATGAAATAAAATAAAGGGTATCAAAAACATCATCCTCCCATCCATCCCAGACCCAACCCCCAATCCCAACCCTACGACCTCAAACTCCCATCAACCGACAACCCCTCCACCGCATCCAAATCCACCGCCCGATACCCGCCCTTCCCCGGCCTCCGGGGCTTTCGCCCCTGGCCCTCGACGCTTGAATGCTCCTCCATGACCGTGACCACATCCGACCGCTCACTGGACACCACACTCGCCTCGACCATCTCGGGAGCAAGCGGGGGTGGACGATTCCGCTGATGATGTTTGGAGTGCGGCGCGTGGAGCCGCCCATGCCCCGGCGGCGGGAGGTGGTACCCTTCCTCGATGATCTCCGAGTGCGACGACGGCGAGGACGTCGTCGTGCTGCTGCCGGTGAGGATCGTGCCGGTCCCGTCCCCGCCGTGGGTGGTTGAGGGGGCGAATTTCCGGCCGGAGGTGAGGGCCAGGTAGAGGAGGTAGAGGAGGAGGAGGAAGCCGAGGACGCTGCCTAGCACGATGCCGACGATTGTGCCCGGTGCCAGGTGCGGGGTGTAGTTGTAGGTGGAGGGGAGGGTGGTGAATTCGCGGGGCGCGGTACGGGGGTGGGTTTTTTGGATGGTGGTGGTGATGGGTTGGTGAGGTATTCGGGGGGGAAGGTGGGTGGGTGGCATTTTTTGGGGGGTGTGGTGGTGAGGTTGGTGGTGAGGTTTGGGGGTTGTTTATGGTGGTTGTAGTGGTGGTGGTGGTGGTGGTGGTGGTGGTTGCGGTGCGGTGCGGACGGAGTAAATAGTGGAGTGGAGTATGCGATGGATGGTTGTACTGTACTCGTTATGGACGTGGAGGGGTCATAGTCTCGTGGGTTCCACCGGGCGACAAAGGTAGAGGTGAGTGTTTGAGTTGGACTGTTGGAGGGTCTGATTTTGAGCGATAAGAAGGAGGAAGAAGAAGAAGAAGAAGAAGAAGAAGAAGAAGAAGAAGAAGAAGAAGAAGAAAAGCAGAAGCGGAGATGACGGTCAGGCAGTACGACAGCAGGAGCAATAAATCGGTGGCTGGGATGGAATCGATGGATCAACCGAGCTAAACAGCTCGACCCGCCGGGCCTTCCCCGCTGGGTGGAGTCTCGCTTACTATGCCGATAGCGATAGTGTACTCCGTAACTATACTGAACTACATCAGTCCATCGGCCATATCGATAAACACCGGACATTAAGGTAAACCGCACAGGATGCTATACTAGCATCTAATCTCATTTCACAGCAGGGATCAAGCTTACGTCAGGCACCGTAAAGTACAGTCAGTACTATCCCGTCCGCCCAGTAGCTGATTTCCCATTTAGGTAACCCGGTCTGTCACAACCTTTTGGTATGAAGCATCACTAACTGTCCGCAGTGATATGGCCATTCCCGCTGTTATTGTGGACAGAGGGGTGAGAGATGCTTTCATATCTTGTGCTCATTGTGCTCATTCATCCCATGCCCCCCCCCCCCCCCCACGTCCAATTGTAAACTCTGCGGAGCTTGTTCATATGACGGGTAACCACTGCTACTCTGCAGTTTCGCCATGAACACTTTCCAGAAAGCTTCTCCACTATCAGCAAAGCTAGAATAAGCTCCTAGCAGCCTTGACACTGGGCTGGAGAATACGTGCATAGCTTGGATAGCAGCCAGCATAGCAGCCAGCACTTGACCACTGGGGGCCGACCCAGCTGCGTTTGCTACCGGCGCAACTCCAATGACGCAACAACCTGTCCTCCAGCTCATGCCGCCCTGTCCCTCAGAACAGACCTGAGATCTGAGCAGAAGCTTATGCATCTCACAGTCGGGTACGAACAGAACGATGTCGACTCGATCGATCCCTCAACGCATGGAATGACACTGGAAAGTAGTCTTCGAACTGGTATCCGATGCGCAACTGATGAAGAGCCAAATCTCGCACGCCATCAACTTAGAATACCCTTAAGATTGTCCGGCACTCAGCAGACAAGCATCAAGCAGGCGGAGGTAGAACCTGGGGCTTGGGGTTTGAGAGGAGGAACATGTCTGGAAACGGGAAGACTGGTCAAAAGTCCGTAGCGAAGATTGGCACAGCGTCCATGCGCATCTCCTGTCCCCAAAATCTGGGAGTCTGATTGGAACAGATCAAGAGCCCTCTCCCATGTCATCCTGCACGAACCGGAGGAATTGTGGGGGAAGGTCTGCCCGAAGTGGTTATCGGTCAACTTCCCTCGACCTGGCTGACCCAAGCATTAAGCGTGCAGGAAGTCTTCCTTACCTCTCTCCTCCCACTTTCTTTCTTCCACCATCCTCCACCACCCCTATCAAAACAACCTAACTCTTGCTCAAATTCACGAGAAAGTGATTGCTCAAGTAGTACTAACCCCTAGCACCACGAAAATCCCAATTCCATCCCCAACTAACCACCCACCTCACTCTCAAGCTCATCCAATATGGCCAATGCACCCACTCACCCAGATAACCGCGAGAGCGGAAACTCCCTCCCAATGTTCCTCTCAGAGCCAGAGTATACTGCTGAGGAGAGGGCGCTGTTGGATGAGCCATTCCCCCCAAAATGGGCAGATATCAGTACCGAATACTTCCGCAACTGCGAGCTGTGTTCTGACTACCACCCGTCAACGGGCCCAAGCGAGCAAATCTACCGCTGTGCAAGACCTGCATGTCGGGCCCTCTATCATCATGAATGTCTCCAGGAGATGCTCACTAAGTTGACTGAGCAGGATAGCCTCCTCATGCCCATGGAATGTCTTCGCTGCGGCACCGGCTGGGATCTTGACTCTGACTTTGAGGAGCCGGAGCATCGCCGCAAGCTCTGGTGCATTGGTGAGTTACGGCAGAAGACTATACAGCTGCTGCGGCAGCTGCGACAGTTACGGCAGGAGCTGCGGCAGGGGCGGCTTAAAAAGAAGCGGCTTCAGCAGGAGCTGCTTTGCCAGAAACAGCTTCAGCAGCAGACGCGGAACCATCCTCAGATACAGCAGCAGTACTGTCAACCCCAGCCCCGGCAGCAGATGCAGGTGCTTTCTCTGCAGGATCAGCCTCCTCAGAACCAGCAGCCGGAGCAGTACTGTCAGTCTCAGCCCCAGCAGCAGATACAAGTACTTCCTCGGCAGTGTCAGTCTTCTCAACACCCGGAGCAGATTAATCAGCAAATGCAGCACCAACAGCAAGTACAGGTACATCCTCTGCAAGATCGGCCTCCTCAGCACCAGGGGCAGAACCAGCAGCAACTACAGGCATATCCTCTGCGGTGTCAGCTTCCTCAGCACCAGCAGCAACAAATACAGCTGCATCTTCAGCAGTATTATCCAGCACAACAAAACTACCAGCAGCTTCACCAGCAGCAACCTCAGCCCCTGCGCCAGTACCAGAGCCTGCAGCAGATGCAACCTCAGCACCAGCTACAGACCCAGCTAAAGCCATATCAAGCTCGGTATCAGCAGCTGCAGATGCAATATGAACTTCGAATGCTACAACAGCATCAGCGGCCGGCCCAGCATCCAATTCAGATGCAACAGCAGCTTCAAAGACAACATAATCCTCAGCTACACCAGCAGCTGCACCCGCCGCATCAGCAACAACCCCCTACCAAGCCCAAGCCCCATCGCACTGCACCGGAAATGGCGCGATCAGCGAAGAAACCCCGTAGGAACAGGCCTGATCCCCCGCGTGGTCGAACGATAATCCCAATGAGCTTCGCTGTAATAGGAGACCGCTTCCATTGCACCTTTGTAGAAGACGGGGTGCCCTGTCGCCTGCATTACGGGAGCGCCGATAGTCTGCGGCGGCATCACCGCACCATCCACGATGACAGTCTTCCTTGCCCTGACTGCCACAGTGGGTGGTCCACCGTCGCAAAACTATCTAGACATCTCGCGGAAGTGCATGGGGTGGCCCCTGTGCGTCGGGTGACACCTAGTCACGGGGCGGCTCCTTTGCATGGGGCGACCCCTGTGCCTCAGACTCCTTTGCGTAGGCTAGCACCTAAGCAGAGGAGGCAAGATACAGTCCCCCGGGACTGGAGCCGAAAGCAGAAGCATGATGATTTCGCGTAGATGGCACGTAGTTTTTCCTTTTTCATTTTTTTTTTCAGCTTATCGAGATACCCGACCTAGTCTAGTTGATAGGATTCTCTGATTTAAGCTTTAAGTAGCCACTGGGCTACATTTAAGTCTACTGCAATGGATTCTAGACGTAAAAGTAGTCATCAATTCAGGTTCCTGCAAAGATCGATTCGGCCTAGATGTTCCTTCACGCTAAACTTACACTTCCCGCTCATTTAGCCATTCCAACCGTACCCACGAAGCTTATACCCGTCATCGCATACTAGCCCCAGCCCCAGCGATCTTCGATCTTCAAGCAACAAGCGACTTCCATCCAAACAACCCTCAACACCCTCAAAGCTGCCCCAGACTGAACTCCAGAAGACCCCTCGACGACTTGACCGTGAACTTGGCGAAGCCATTCTTGAACACCACATGCAGCAAATTCTCACAACTCCCTATACACACATTAGCCCACTATTCCTACCTCACACCCACAAACCCAACAACTTCCCGAGTGACATACCTTGCACCTTCCCCTGCTCCCCGGCACAGAACAGCACGACCCAATGCCGAATCTTGCCGCGCTCCACCATCCCCCCACACTGCCGCGCGATGGCGCGCAGGTCAAAACACGCGGCGTACCCATGCAGCAGCTCGATGCGCCAGCCCACCGCCGAGATCTCGACCGCCGTGCGCGCGCCCGTGGTGCGCGTCCAGTCGCGGGTGACCGCGCCGCCGAAGATGTTCTGGCTCCAGCAGCACCGGTAGAACTCGTCCTGGAACAGATCGGCCCGGGCCCGGACGCGGCCCGCGGGGCCCCGGCGGCTGGCGAAGGTGTCCTGCAGGGACTCCCGGGACAGGGACTGCAGGACGCGGATGCAGAATTCGCGGATCTCCGGGCCGCCGCCGATGCCTTGGAAGCTAATTTGGTCGCCGCCGGTGTGTTCGTATTCGAGGAAGCTGGGGGTTGGGGTTGTTAATTTTGAGGCAGGGGGTGGAGTAAGGGGGATGGCTCACCGGGCATGGAGGTTGGAGGGGAGAACGCAGTAGACCTTGTCGGCGAAATCGAGGAAGGTATACAGGAATCCGAACTTGACGCAAATCCTCAGGTCTTTGTCCTTGTGGTTGAAACGGATGTTGCCTTGGCGAAGAACCCGGAGCAGGATGTCGATCATGGCTTGGGTCAAGATCCCGTTGGTCATGTACTTCGATGGTAGGCTTTTCCCGGCGGGCTGGTATCGGATGAATTCGAGGGCGTCGTTGCTGCTCAGGAACTCGCGGAACTCGTCGGTAGGGAGCGACAACATATCTTTGTAGATGTATTGTTGGAAACCTCTTCCAGCGTTCTGCTGAGAGTTAGCACCGAGAAGGAAGGGAGCTTCAGTTGGGCTGCACTCACCTGGCATATATATGCCAGCAGAGCAGCGACCATTCCAGGGTGTCCGTCTGTCAGCAACATCAAACACTCCCGCCCGTTTTGGGACAGTTCAGGGCAGCCGTTCGTAGCACTGTACCTCTTGACCACATCTTGCAGCTCGGATTGGGTGTAGAAGACAGAGGACATGGAGCTCGGCCAGTACGGCAGAAGGGTGACTGTTCGCGATGGTTTGAAGGGCGGCTGACGTCTGCTGAAGCGCGCCTCGAGGGGCCCAGTCCTCAAAGACTCGTGCGAGAAGAACAAACAGAAACGAGGGCCATGTTCCTTGCCGAATCGGGCATCTACAATCTCGGACCAAAAGTCGAAGTCACCGTAGGTCTCGTGTGCGTCATCCAAGATGAAAACCAGCCCGCTGTTATGATCGCTCTGAAGGTCGGCGTGCACTTCGTCCTTACAAAGGCCCTGCTCGTAGGCTGCTTGGACTAGGTATTCCACGGCAGGCAACGAGCTACCGTTCTTCTTCCAGCCTTTCACAAAGATGACCTTGCGCGTCTGGCGAAGGAAGTCCCGGAGCAAAAGCGCGAGGGTCGTCTTGCCTGACACAGGTGTGCCTTGTACAAAGACGACATGTTTTGTGTCAAGCTCTTGTGCGATTCCAAGCAATGTCTCAGTTCGCGCACAGATCTCAGATCCTTTGTGTATGTCCGGCTGTGGTGCTAATGCTGGCATAGGGTGTTGTTGCTTGACTAGATTTTTGAAAGACTCTTAATGGACAAGTCTCTTAATTGTTTTCTGAGTAACTTACTTTCGGTGTATTCCAGGTGCTTGCTGAGTGAGTGATGGCATTCGGTGCATGAGGCTTCCTGATCAATAGCAGACACAGAGGCCTCGTTGGTGCCCATCTGACAGGTACACATGTAGCCTTTGTGTAATCCCTGGACCGTACACTTTCCAAATAGTGTCTTGACCTTCTTCAGATCCGTCGGTAGAGTTGCTGCCGAGGATGTCGGAGTAAAGGCACCAGACCCTTCTGATGAGGAGGACTTCTCCATGGCTTGGGACGACGTTATTGGGTTATTCTGTAGAAGTGAGAGAGAAATCGAGAGGGAGTTGACTCTGCAGGGATATCGATGGGCTTCTCTGAACAGAATGATGGGTAGGAAGATTGAACGCGGAATGTCTCTCCGTAAAACTGAGAACAAACAGATGGCAGGGTGGGATAGGAGGAAGTGAAGTTCCGGGCAAGCAATGTTAAGTAAATGTGTTCATCATGACTGCTAGTCTCCGGATCGGTGCAAACAACGCCGTCACTGCTGCTCAGTGCCCACAGTGTTGAATTCTGATGACCCATTTTGCATCTCTCAAATCGAGAAAAGATTCAGAATGTACCATACGAAGAAAGAGAACTATCAGAAACTGTGAATGGACAGCCTCACCCCAGGCCTCAACGGTAGGCCCCCTCTTTCCTTTTCCTCTTCCTCCTCCTCTTCCTTTGCCTCCTTCTTCTACCTCTTCTGCCTCTTCCTCTTCGTCGTCTTCTGCTTCCTCTGCTTCCTCTGCTTCATCGTGTATTATTTCTTCGCCTTCTTTCTCTCTGCCTTCTTCTTTCTCATCGTCATCTTCCATCAAGACATCAACAGCATCACAGCCTCTATCAACAGAAAAGCCGACTTCCTGGTCCAAGCTCTCACAGAGGCGAACCCAGTCCGCCAGGGATTGCAAAGATCCTCAATGACAGCGCCTCGCCAGTGTACTGCCTGCTCGGAAGACTTATGCCAAGCCAAAGCGGCACGCGCACCTTGTCGGCATGAATACTGCTCATCTTGCCTGGAAAGCTACTTCCAGTCCTCTCTATCCGAGGGGGGCCGGTTCCCTCCGAGATGCTGCGGCCAGCCCTTTGACATAACCGCTGTCGGCCAACACCTCACACTGGAGACCCTCCGGCGGTACGAGAGGAAGAGGGCCGAAATCGAGACTCCGAACAAAGTATACTGCTCTCGGGGGCGGTGTTCTGCCTTCATTCCCCCATCTTGTATCGTCAACACCCGGGCAAGTTGTCCCAGCTGTGGCCACAAGACTTGTGCAAGCTGCAAGGAACCGTTCCACACGGGAAACTGCCCGGCCAACACCGACTACGAAAGACAGATGAGCGCCGCGAGGAGGTTCGGGTGGCAAACATGTCCTCGTTGCGGGCGACTCGTGGAGCTGGATTCCGGGTGCCATCATATGATGTTAGTCAGACCCTCTCAGACTCCCCCCGCGGTTCCCGCTGCTCCGATACTGACCAGAACGTGACCCCCTTTAGATGCCTCTGTGGTGTCGAGTTCTGCTACTTCTGTGGTCGAGTCTGGAAGACCTGCAGGTGTAACGTTCCGCGTGATCCCAGGGCTGAGGCGTACGAGCGGATCATCGAGCGCACGGGGACCATCCCCCCTGGAAGCGTCGAATATATAGCCCCCGTCTTTCCGGGACCTGGTCAATTTCCCCCTCCTGCAGGTTTTCCTCCCCAGCGAGAGCTCCTCCAGAATCCCGGCCGCCCTAGAATCCCGGCCGCCCTAGAATCCCGGCCCTACAGGTGATGGCTTCCTCTCCCCCTCCTGTCCCTCGAAACCCTACCTCATATAAGAACTCTTGACTAACCACTCCTCTTGTGGTAGAACAGCGGCCTCGATCGGCCCGACCCCATCCGTCTTCCCACCTCTGGGGCCAACCCTTTCGCAGCCACCTCGCCGTGGGCAGTATGATTAGCAGCCACCTCCGCCAGCAAGAGCTTCGCCCCGGCGATGTTCCTCTAGGAGTGTACCAGACCGAGGCGTACCATCTGGAGCGGATTAGACAGGAAGTCCTCGAATTTCGACGCCAACATGAGAATGATTGGAAATTCAACGATGCTTTTCGGTGAGACTAGCTCCTGCCTCACTGTAGGGGAGGTCCGTTTTCTGGTGAAGCGTGCGGTGAAGGAAGGTGGAAGGTGGCCATGAATGGCGCGCCATACCTCAGAATCTATTTGTACCCACGTATTTAGGAGGAGCTGTGGATCTGCATGACTCTGGCCATGTGCATCAGTTAGTTACCAGCGAGGCAGGACATCGTGTCTCGGTGCTTATTGTTATCCTCTCTGGAGCTGGGTGTCGGATTTGAGTCTGGAACTCAACTCTGTGTCGATCGTCTCGTATTGACTTTGGCGTGATTAATGACTCTGTTGGAATTCGATAGGGCGTTGGTAGGTAGCTTGTTCATCATTATTCACGGGTCTTTCTGGTCATCATGTCCCGTGTAGGTTGCGCACCAGAGGGAATATTGAAATATGTATTCTCGAGTTCAAGGCTCCAACCAGAGGTCTCGACAAATCACTTGAGCTGCTAGCCAAGAGCATGAAATTGGATAACATATTCAGCGGAGAATTCACGCCAGCTGGTAGGAGTGTACTAGCTGATTTTGTGCTCAGCAATGGGGTTGAATAGTTGCGCAATTTTAAAACGAGCAGAGGTTGTGGTGGATATATTGGAAGGAGTTATGACGTTGGATTATAATCAACGTAATTTCGGAAGCTACCACCAAGTAGCATCATTGGTCTAGTGGTAGAATTCATCGTTGCCATCGATGAGGCCCGTGTTCGATTCACGGATGATGCAACACAATATCCTTTTTAGAAATCCTACATTTTTTAGTAGCATCCGTCCCTCGAGATCACCATTCGGTCATGGACCAAAAGTGACTTGCTATTTACGGTGATCCTCAAGCGCATGCATTACCTCAACTCAACTATATACGTGGGGAAATACTCGTACGGAACTCCCAACCTCCACCTAGTACGCCCCCTTCCGAGCCTTGTACTTGGGCTGATCCACCGACTTGACTCCCTTCAGCGCCGTCAAGACCGGCGTCTCGTAGCTCAACTCCAGTCCCTCCACCTTGGCGCCACCCTCATTCTGGGCCCACACGCTGAGTGCGATCCAGTTCGTTCCTTGGTAGTTCAGAATACCCTGGGGAACCGGGAAGCTCGTCTGGGGCCCGATGTTGCTCACATACTTACCGTACTGGTACCCGTTCACATACAGCTGCGCACGGTACGCGTCGGGAGTCGTGCTGTTGGCGAAGTTGAAGAACAGCGGCACGTCCCATCCAGTCGGCAGGTCGAGCTCGAACTCAGCACTGTAGAACCCGATGCCGGGCTTGGAAAGACCGTCGAGAGGACTGGCGGACTTCCATTTCTGGCTGGGAGGTTGGGGCTGGTGGTAGCCTTGGCGTTCAGCGTAGAGACCACCCTCGTTGAGGGGCCCGCGAGTCTTATCCTGGTAGTCTTCGCCGCCGAGGTTGCCCGTCAACTTCCAGGAGATGTCGCTGGCGTCGTGGCCGGCAAGGTCATAATTGAGGATACCACGGGGCGCCTTCATGAGTTCTGAACCGACGGTCCAGTCCTCGTCCAGACCGAGGTTATCGACAACCACCGTGAAGACGTATTCCTTGCCGGACTTCAACTTAGGAAGAGTGACGGTTTGGTTGTAGTCAGCATACACAAAGAGACCGGTGAAAGAGCCAAGGAAGGTGTCGTTGAGCCAGATGGAGCTTCCAAATGCAGTACCACCCTGAGTATCGACAGTAAAGGTGGTCTCATCTCCGCTAGCGACGAATCGACCACGGTAGATTAGGTAGCCAGTGTGGAAGCCATAGTCGGACGAGTATAGCGAAGTGGGAGTGGTCAGGGGGCGGAACGTGTTCTTGGTCTCGGCAAGATCGGCGGCGGTCCAGAGAGAGTCGTCATACGAGGATTGAATCTCAGGGAGTGTATCCAAGTACTTCCAGCTCAAGCTCTTCAAGCTCGGAAGCGAGATCTTCGGGGCACTGTACTTGACTTCCGTCGTCCAAGCACCGTTCTTTGCAACCGTGTGACTGGTCTTCTCTCCGTTGATGTAGAGGTTGCGAGTGGTAGCCGGGGCACCAAAAACCTCGATAGGGGTGGTGGCGTTGAAGTCGGCAGTGAGGTAAAGGCCGTTGCCCTTGACATAGGCAGTCCGCACGAGGTAGCCTGCCTTGACAATGATGGATGACGCAACTGCAGCCTGGGTGCTGAACTCCGTTGAGGTGCTATCTTTACCGACTTGCGGAATCCAGTAGTTGTATGCAGAGTTCCGATCTACTACGAGTTAGATTTATCGTCCTAATCATGAGATCTGAAGTCTTACCTAGAAGATGGATCTGCAAGTCTCCAACCTTGATGATCTGACGAGTGGAGGAGACGTCCCATCCGATCACAAGAGACTTTCCAGTCTGCTTGGAGGAGATGGCAGATGCCTTGCCTTCGACAACAGTCACGTTTGACTTAGTAGTGATCGCGAGCTCATGGTGCTCGTCAGCTCCTCCGTACAGAACGAGGACTTTTCCGTCAGAGAACTTCTTCCAGGTGAAAACCTCAGCAGTTGAGTACAAGATGTTGGTTCCGGAGACATCATAGTCGACAACGTGGATCTTAGAATCGCGTCCGTTAAGACTCAGGCTGCCTCCCAGCTGAGGGATTGTCAGACTACCAGCACTGGTTGGAACCTTTAACTTGTAGGAGGTAGAGGCCTGGCTGGTGTAGTCTGAGTGTCTGACGACAAAGAAAGAGCCAGTGTTGTTGCTACCGAGCAAAGGAGTGACGGTAATGTCAGAAGTATCGGCATAGCCCGAAGTGGTCAAGTTTCCTGGAGTGGCAAGTAGGTAACCTGGCGAGGCCTTGGCAAAGTTACCAAGGAGCTTCAGCTCACTGTACTTCTCTCTAGTAAGATTGCGAGATTCGGTCAAGGGTGAGCCATAGTCGTAGGAAGTGTAGCCATTTGCATAGCCCAGGTTGCCCCAGTTGGTTCCTCCAAAAGTCTTTAATCATTAGTTGGCATGCGAACCCGAGAGAAGTTTGTAGAATGCTCACCATGTACAGGTTGAGGATAGCAACGCCGAAGCTGAAGTCGTTCTTGTAGAAAACTCGTTCAAACTCGTGGTTAACTAGAGCAGCACACTTGGCAAATCCAGGCCCGCCCCATGGGTCAAAGGCGCCAGCTTGGAACTATTCCCGATTAGATCTAGAACACACCATGGAAGTATACAACATACCTCAACAATTGAGTACGGTGTCGTGGGACTCTGTTCAAGATGAAGGGTGCGGAAGTTGGTAGGCAAGTTTCCTGAGGGCCAAGTGGAGGGGTTTGCCTAAGCGTTATTAGAACAGAATTGAGCCCCACAGCGCAAGTACATACACAGTCAAATCCAAGCCTAAGCAAGTTAGTCATAGCCTAGCACAAAAGAGGGCCTTAACTTACGGATAGCTATCGTGGCCATAAATATTCACCGAGCCCTCGCCGGTTCCCGGGGCGTTGTGCCCACTGGCAGAGGCATCGTTGCTGATGAAAGGCACCACGATACCCGCATTACGAGCCTGGTCAAGGACGTATTGCATATAGACGGGATCAGGGAACGTGACATTGCCCGAAGAGCCAGAGTATTCGTTCTCAGGCTGGTAGAGGATGATAGGACCGCCGTTAGTGATCTGGTACTTGGCGATGGTCGCGGCAACGTGCGCGATGTAGCTAACCACTGTCAGAAATGCTGCTGTGCAAGGGGACCAAAATGCAATGCATACTTGTCAGTAGCTTCCAGATATGGCTTATCACTAGAGCGAAGGATGCCATCGACTCTCTGCAGCCAGCCGGGGAAACCTCCTCCGGAAACCTCGGCATTGATGTACGGCCCTGGACGGGCGAGAAGGTAGATGCCGGCCTCAGCAGCGGCCTCGAAGAAGGGTTCGAGCGCGAAAACGCCATCCGCCCTGTATTCGCCCGGCTTGCCTTCCAGAAGAGCCCAGTCGACGTAGAAGGAAACAGTGTTGAAGCCGAGAGCCTTGATCTTCTGGAAGATATCGATGTACAGGGTGGGCACTGGGATTCTGTTTTCGACAAGTCAGAAACGATACAATACGGAAGATAAGCTGTGGAACGACTGACCGGTATGGATGGACTTCTCCACTGAAGATCATGATTCTCTCCCCGTTGATGAAAAGAGACTTGTCATCCCATGTGACCTATTGTTCCCCTCAGTCAGTCAATGCCAATTGCCTCGTCTCCAGCCGAGCACCGTACATATTTCTGAGACAAATCCCGCTTCGCAGCATCAGGATGCTCGGTGAGAGTAAAGCCATTGAAGCGATGCTTGACCGCTGCGCCAGCTGCGTGCACCGCCAGCAAGGCAGCACCACAGACTGGTAAGAACCTCATGGTTGGGTTAGAGCTTGCCGCAAAAGCTGTACCGACCCAGAGCAATTGGTACTGTACTACCGCACCCAATGTGGTCCAGAGCAGAATTCCTTCCGGAAAACAGGGGGGGGCAAGTGACGCATTTTATGCGCCCCCTTTCCTCGCCTCTGGCAACCCCTCTTGTGTAGGCTGAATACTGGCTGACCGCAATCGTTGGGATCTTAGCCGGGCCGCAACCCTCGTTTGTGGCCGCATTGACATCATATGGCGCGAGGTGGAAGAGAGGGGAAGTGGGACTCGCATATTAAGACAAAAGATACTAGAGACAGGCATACAGGCAATCAACGGTGGCCGACCAAGTCTAGTGAGAAGATGAAGTGATGATGGAAGAAGAGAAAAGACCAACGGGGAAAGCGGCCTGACGATCCTCCACAGGGGCAGTGCCCCGTTGGGTTAGACCCGCTGGTGCTCTTACTGCGGGGTTTTCTTCTCCGCATCTTCCTTCTTCTTCCCTTCCAAGTTCCAACTTACAACTTTCTACAATTACTTTTTCTTCTTCCCCTCTGCACTTGTCTATTTCGGGTGGTGATAATCTGGCCGTTGTACCTGTGTATGGGAATACCTATGCAGGAACCAATCTTTGGTGCGTGGTATCGAGACCACCCTCTTCATAGATATCATTACAACGGTATCGGAGCGAAGTGGTGCCTCGCCATGGCGGAAGGACTCTGGACCCCCAGAACCCAATCAGTCCAAGCTTCGCGGATGGCTGGACTGTGGGGTGCCACCGGAGACTTCTTGTTAATTTGTGGATAAATTCTACTAACCACTGACTGTCATCATTTAAGATTGATCCACTCTTCCATCTTGAATCATGCCACCCCACACCTCTGTCGGGCGCCTTCCCTCGAGACAAGCATGACCTGAGAGCAGTGTGCAATTCGCAAGACTGATGGAATTCTATGGAGCTTGGCTTGAACGATTTTACGCTTCAGATCCCTCGGCCTGTGTGAAGGTCATCCTGAGCTCCGCTGCACCATGGTCGAGCTAGCAACGCATCTTCTGCGCCCGGTAATCGCATCATTTTCTCCGACATTCACCCGGGCTGCAGCAGAAACAGGACCCCTCACTCTGACATTAACCGAGAGAGTTCAAAGTTAATCTAAAGAGTAATGAAACGAGATTATCCATCAATTCGAACACCGGCTCACCCTGACGTTGCAGGCCCAAGCTTATACTTTGCTGTGGCAGTCGAGGATGAGGCCCACTCAATGGACCCTGAAGGCTCCACGGCCTTTTTCCCCTGGCGTGCCCGACCACACTTGCTTCCACCCAGAGCGTCCACAATGTCTAGTTGTTGCCGCGAGCCCGCAAAGTGACAAGCTCCCGCACATATCGCTTCAGGTCCCTCAGTTGCAGACTTGGCTGTTGGAACGCGACCTGGATTTCCTCCAGAGACCGGCCGCGGGTTTCGGGCATATAAGCCGCCAGGAAGGCAACGGTGCCTAGCGCCAAGCCACCGAATAGCAAATACACACCGAAGGGCGATTTATCCAGGATGATTGGAGTGATAATTGCGACCAACCAGTTCGTGAACTAATAAGCACGCGTGTCAGGAGTTACAAATACCCTAAAGCAAGACAGAAAAGGAAGCGAGGGAGTCTTACAAAAGCCAACGCTTGCGCCACGCAATTGGCGGACGCGCGCACATGGGCTGGTTGGATTTCGCTGGCGTAGATTTTGCTCATGATTGCCCAGCTGACCGAATATGCCAGTCCGAATACATAGACTGCTGTGATAACCACCCACCGCGCCGCACCGGTTTGATGTACCACCCCAGCAGCATACAGGCCTCCGATGAGAAGCATGCACGTCGCGAGAACAAGCCCTCCCGTTATGGCCGATGTACGACGACCCCAGCGATCCGCTAGCAGGAAGGCGGGGATAGAGACGGCCAGCATTAGGATCGCGGATACTCCAGAGGCCAGAAATGAGGCGGTCGCGGAAGATAGGCCGGCCTGGGCGAACAGGGTGGGCGCGTACTGGGTTCTTGTTATTCACTTTCGTGGCTGCAAGGGAAGCGCAGAGAATTGTCTCCATTGAAAAGACCGAGTACTCACATACAGAACCCCGTCTATCCCCGAAAGCTGTACCATTCCCAAGACAAATAGTCCCAACAAAGTGCGGGGTCGATACGCTCGAGAAAATAGCAGCACGAAACTCTGCCAGGGCGACAGGTTGGAGAAGTGCTCGGTCGCGGTGAAGCTGCTTTCGACTTCGTCCAAAGGAAACTGTAGACGCTGCAAGGAGCGTCGAGCCTCAGTGCGTCGGCCGTGGAGGATCAACCAGCGGGGGGACTCAGGTAGAGTAAGGCAGCTGATGACCAGGCAAGAGGCAAACACGCATTGAGCAAGCAGCGGCAGTCGCCATGCTATGCTAGAAGGAATAGCAACGGTAGCGTAGCAGGTAAAGTAGCCAGCACAGGTGCCCGTTACGGCAAAAAACTGCGGTAATCCCGCGAGAGCGCCGCGGAATCGAAAGGGGGCGATCTCACATATGTAGACGCTCATGGGTCCGAGAAAAATCCCTTGGCCGGCCCCAGCTAGTGCTCGGCCTGCCATGAAGAGCGCCAGCCGTGGTGCCATGCCCTGAAGAAGTGACCCAACTGCAAACAACGCCGCACCAAGCAAGATTATTCGCAATCGACCAGATCGGTCCGCCATATGGCCGGCTATAAGAGATGGAAGGACACCCGCCAGCATCATGAGCGCGACTGTGAATCCTAACAGAAAAGGGGACAGCGGGCCTATCGATTGGCTGAACTGTGCCATGGAAAGCAACGCGCCAATCGAGCCCGTATCATAGCCGTTGGAGAAACCACCGAGGGCGATAAGGACCGAAGCGAAAACGTATTTCGGAGGCAAGTGCAGTGCCATGGTGAAATAAACATAGATAGATGAAGAAATGGATGAGTATCTGTATGGGCAGGCTGCACAAAGCAATGAAGATGACGGGGGAGAAACCCCTACCCTCTGTACTTGCTTATTGTCGATCTGTGCCCAGCTTGTATCAGATGCGGGGTTGAAGATAACATCTTTGCGTCTAATATGTCATCGAATAGGGCTGACCTACGCCTGACACTTGCTCGTCAGAATAGGTATCCCACGAGCTGATCTCGTCTGTGCACTAGAACCATACCTTGAAACGGTCGCAGCACTGCCCTGATGGGCACTGATCGTCGAGACTGTTACAACAGATGGTTGTCTTGAATCCTCTTTCTCCTCGCCTTTTTGTCCTTTTATTCCAGTTCAGGCTGGGCCAAAAGGAAATAAGCCGTCAGCGCATGATGACGTTTCTTTAGCATACGCGGTAGTAGTTTTTATTGATAGGAACGTATTCCAAAAGATTATGTTAGACGTTTCCTACGAAGTCCACAGAATCCCAGGCCACAGGTCGAAGTTGTCTGTGCCGTCTATCTGCAGATCGTTTGGGTTGACAAGATTGATATCGTAATCCGACGTGCCAAGGAAGTCCTGCATCGTTGGCTCCAGGAATGCCATTTCCGTAGTATAATTTACGGGGGGCAACACTCCGTCATTATGACCCTCTATTTCCGGGTCTGCGACCGTAGCTTGGACCGATGGAATAGATAGCCTTGGTGCATGGCTACGGGGCTCTTGTCCCTCGCGTGCATCATCCGAATTGGTGGGCAACGCCTGCTTAACGCGCTTAAGGTTCTCATGAAATTCAGAAGCGGCGAGATTGCCTTGGTCGCTCATTCGGTGTAAGATCTCGGTTGCCGTTTCCAGGGCCTCCAGGTCCGCAGGGTTCCCAATTGAGGGGAGGAGCCCTGAGATCACCAACGCGATGCATGATGAGAACAAATACTGGGCGTAGAAATAGCCGTACATTGGCAAGGAGCCATTAACCCATTCCTCAATGATCAAAGAATGTGAGTGCCGCGCAGCATGAATGCATGCTTCGCTGATTGTAATCACGGGCTGTGGAAGGTCTTCAGAGGGTTCTCGGTGGCCGCTTTGGAAAAGAGCGTGAAGTAGAATCGGGCGGGTGGCTAGGATGACACACTGATGCTTGTGATGAGAAAATATATCTCATTTCAAAGAAAGGCGGATGCCTACCTGATTGAATTGTAGATGCAGAGAGACAATGTGTTTGGGAGGTACGCTGTCTTCCTGACGTAACCGTACATGTTCTGGGAGCGATTGTAGCCAATCTTGTAGAGCAAGTAGCAACTGCTGCTCTCGCTGCAGGAATGGCTCTATGTGGTGCTTCCTGCCATAAATCTTGTCTACCGTCTGCCCTATAATGCGAGACAGTCGAATGCTAGCCACTAGGTATGCAGTATCTGAGAACTGCTCCTGGGCAGTGGAATCAGCAACCTCTGCTGGCAAGTCGACATGGATGTCTTCGTCGCGGATCTGCAATGGAAACCCAATTTTCGAGGTAAACATCCGATCAAACACGTAAATTGCCCACCAAAGTCGTACTCGGTGTTCACGTTCTATAGCATTCGCACACTGTTGTACGGGAATGTTATGGTTAAGTCCGAGAACTAGACCTAAACGCATCGCGCTGCCTATCAACATATACCCGGAATGTCTTCTGTTGAGGAAGTAGGAGTATAGAGACTAGGAGCCGGTTAGATTGTCCTTCGCACAAGCAATGTAGGAGACCTCCTACCAACAATAGAAGACTCTCCACGTGTATCATCCCTGGCCGCTCCGGCATGATGGGTATAAGACTCATTGCTCGAACGTAGTATTTCGTTCCTGGGACCTTGCTGGTGGGCGATGCACTTGACCGGGAGGAATATACTTCACCCAGCGCAAAGAGCCCGAAGAACTTGCATGTTAAGGCGGGGTCATCTTGCAGTGAGGGGGTCCGATAGACAGACTCCAGCTGATCAAGGGTTGATTTGCGAAGGACCAGGTGGTAGACACGACTCAGTTGGTTGAAAGCGATGCGGACTAAAAGACGAGCTTGGGCGAGTCCAGGCCACTGATTTGCGCCTTCGAGCAAGGAAGACTCAGGTGTGTACTGGGTACGCGCGACATGAGCTGTCTTTGGGTCTCCTGTGAGAAACTGACGCAACCGCGTCGAGAATGCTGTGCATGCTGCTTCTCCCATGTAGATGGGAGGGGCGGATGAGTCGTATGGATAGAACCAGGCGCGATCTCCGATGAGTGGGTTCTGGACTGTGGGGTAAGTTTCTGACGACGGCACAGGGAGTTGTACAGAGCTGGAGGGAGAGCTATGAGGTGTGCTGAGCACGCGCAGCTGCTCCTTCAATAGAGAATTTTCGGAGAGAATCTCATCGATATAACTGACCAGGGTGGTTGATCAGAAAAGAGTGATATGTGAGAAGCAAGGAAGCAAGGGAAAAGGGAAGGTACGGTACCTTTCCTGAACTTTGAGCTTTCTGTCGCGAACGGCATACTGGCAGGATTCCCCACATCCAGCTTGCCGACATCTTGAGCAAGGCTGTTCACCGGAGCACTTGACTTTGAGAGAGTGACAGCGATTGCAGCTGTGCCAAATGGGTCAGTCAGACACTGTACCCGCATTCGGGAAAGCCAGGACATACGCTACAGATTTTTTGTTGAGCCTTTTCGGTGGATTCTTGACGACAGGCATGAATACTAGAATTGCTTCAATGACCCAGTGCGAATATTCAATTGTGAAGTGGACGAGTTGTGGCGGATGCTATCGGCGAGTTGATCTTTCGCCGGCAGGAGATTCGATGACAGCATGCCTTACTCAGCATCGGCATATCCGCAACCAGCCGATCCCAGATGAGCTCTATAGCAAGTTCATATGTACTCCTTGCAACAGTTTTACTATGAAGCCAAGGCTGCTTTGGTTATAATCTGTCGCTGTGACACATGCCAGTATCAATATGCCCACTGTAATGAGTACCAAAAGCAGAATAAAACCAGCAACCGAGCGACGTTATCGGTGAGGTTAGATTTTAGTTCGGCAAGGTCAATGAACTTGCCGAGCGTTCAATGATCCAGACAATAAAACCATGAACTAAATCCAAGCGAAGTCATGCAAGGATGTCTTGAAGTACTAACAAGCATAGAATGATACAATGCTTCACAAATCCAACTTTCGCGTTCGGTTTCACTTGGAAACCCCTTCCCAAACCTTCAGCATTGGGGAGACGATCGGAGGTTGTGTTTTGATCACCAGTCATAGAAGCTCTTCTCCACCCCAGTTCAATCTTGCACTTGAAGGTACTACATCTTCTATTCTGACAAGTGCCCGTCACTAACAGCTTGGCAGGCAAGGTGAACGTACAGGTGGACCTTAGCGAGAACGCAGTGCCGCTACCGCAACCGACAGCATCAACTACTTTTCTGCACATGAGCCAGCCTCTTGATGATCCCTCCATACAAGCAGCAGGCAAAGCCCTTGACGCCGGAGTCGAATATTGCCTGCCATTCGAGTTTGTGGTTCCTTGCAAGCTACCACTCCAGGCCTGCCAGCATAGTTGCCGTCATGAGCAAGTACAGGAAGAACATCTCTCCCTTCCTCCAAGTCTCGGGACACTAGGCCACCGGAAAAAGTCATTACACGGCAAGGATGATATGGCTCCTGAAACAGCCTCCATTGCCTATCACATTTCTCTCCGAATAAGCAAAAAGCCTTCCAAAGCCGGGACAACAGCCCCGATTGCCGAATGGGAGCACCCGATACACATTCGTCCGTTGCGCGTGGAACGCGCCCCGGCCCTCGTGCCACGAGAAAGCAAATTCTATTGCCTGCGGCGAGAGGTTACAATCACCCGGGGTCTTTCCAGAGCACCCCAGGGTGTTTTGTCAGCCCAAGCAGTCCAGCCCACCGCGATAGCGCCAAATGCAATCCCTTTCCGCCTGGTACCCATCGACCTACATTACAGAGCCCTCTCCGGTGCCCCTCCGCCCAAACTGTCAGCAATCAAAGTCGAACTCCAAGCGACCAGTTTCTTCGGCGTCAAGCCTTGGTCAGACTTTCCCGACTTGACCGATCCCGTAACCTGGGGCCGCCACCAGAACCATTATACATACCCGGTGTCGTTGGCAGACATGCAGCCCGGCCCGCTGAAGTGGCAGCAGAAGAACACAGATGATGAAACCTCGCCGATCTTCAGATCCACAATCCAGGTGCCCGTGGAGCTTCCTGGTAAATTCGACTACCCTCCAAGTTTCAGCCACTGCTTCATCTCCCGGGTGTATGCCTTGAAGGTCGATATTTGTTGGCGGACCCCGGGTGCGTGGGGAAGAAACCGAGTGTCCTTAACTGTTCCGCTGCAGATACTGTAATTTGAAGATAGAGATACCCACCACATTTGTATATTATGAACAACTATGACCTATCAATTGATGTCTTTCCCCACCACCTCCATATGCACTTTTCTTTAAAAGTCAAACCGGTCACGCTTTGGTGTACTAAGTCCACTGGACGGCTATATACCCATCCTGAGTGATGTTAATGCCCATAAGTTGTCCTGATCACGAAGAATAATCGATTCTCTGCTTCTGAAACTGCTCCACAGGGTAGGCTGGATTATAACCCCTTATACCCTCAAAGCAGCGTTCACCCAGCGCACAATGATGCCCCCGATATCTGCCTACCACGAACAAAAATGAGTCTAAGTTCGAATTGATGCTTCCCTCCCCCCCCTGTATTATACAAACCCCCAAGACGACATCACAACTCAACTACCGACCACCTCTCAACCCTGAAATTCAAGGCTCTACTCGGTATAGCAAGGTGTCCGATCCAGCGCCGTGAACGCACTGATACACTCGTACTTGCCCCCAGCATTGCAGGCCGTGCCGGCCGTGCCATCCGCGTTGCTGACCCCATCCGCGCGATGAGCGTTAGCGCAGATAGACGCGCAGTCCAACTCTCCGACACTCGCGTCCTGGATATGATACACGAATTGCGTTAGCGATACGCTCTCATCATTGTATTCCGGGTCGAAGGGGCAGGTTGCTCGGGGGGTTTGGGATCTATCTCACCGAGTACACGCAGCAGTGGTCGCTGTTGGCGAATTCGCATTGGCAGTAGGTGCATGCCTGGGTGGTGGAGGCGAGGGCGCCAAGGAGGAGGAAGCCGAGGGTGATGAGCTGGACCATTGTGACTGTCTGGGATGTCGGTGGAGAGCGAGAGGTAGGTTGCAAGAGGTGAGCTGCTTTGAGCTGATGAAGTTTGAGGAATGCTGGTGAGAAAAGCCGAGTAGAGGGGCACTGTGTCTCTTTTTATATTGCAGTTCGAGCTGAGCAGTCGGTCAAGGTCGAGTGCGTACTATCTGTTCCTCAACATGAAGCATCGGGCAACAGAATGTACAGTACAGTACACCGCTGCTCTACCTCCGGTGCCCTTGAAGACATGTCTCCTCGTCCAATGATCCGTTCTGGAGATAGTCTTCACAATCGGAATGGCTGTATCGTGGGTGTGCACTGGCTATACCGATCTTCCCAAAATGGTGATCTACGCGGCCTACAGAACCATCGGTCCATATCAGCAGGATTGCCCTGGATGATAGTGCAAGCTCCAAGGTGAGTCTGCATGGGAGCCTGTGAACATGATCGACACGATCCTACTCAATTTGGGCTCGGTACACTCTAAATAACTTTGGCTTTTGACGCTAAGCTGAGACTAGCGCTGGCGCTGACTTAAGGAGGGCAGTCTCTAGTCCCGCATGATACTATATGCTTCAGATTCCAGCGACATTGCTCCGTCGGAGTGAGACAATTAATCTATTCGGTGATCCTTCAGGTTGTGAGTGTTACCTGTGCCGCGTAGTCTGCCGCGGACTTTTTGCGGTCAGGCATGAACCATGGTATGGTCTGACGTTCTGGGGATAATGCTTAGCCAAAGTTTGGCTCAAATACACAGTTTGTGGATCTTCGAGTCCGTAAGCTGCTTAGAAGGTGGTTCTTACCTCTTATGTCGATACTTTAGGCAATGTCCTGTTCTAGGGTTTGACGAGAGATTTGGAAGCTCTATTGAAATTGTACACTCAGTGATTGAAAGAAAACAGTTATATACTGTGAGTATCTGATTATATAAGATAGGTAATTCAAAAAGATGTATGTACAGTAGATGACTGACATGACTTGAAATACAAAAGAGACTCTGTGAGTCACCAAAATGGGCGTGTACTAGAGCAAACAGACTCCAGATTCAGCCGAAGACGCTTCTCTCACTTAGCAAGACGCAACAGAGGGATAGTTCTTGCAAGCACTGGACTTCTTGCCGCCAGTGACCTCGACATCGGTCCAGGTCCAATCCTTGCAGCTACCGCTACCGCACAGGAGGTAGATCTCCGTGGCACCGCTGGCAACACTACCGGTCACGCCATCCAGAGTGATATCGGTGACCGACACACCGTTGGTAGGCTTACCGGTAGGCTTGCCATCCTCGTAGTCCTGCTGGATGACCACTCCGTAGTCGGTGATGCCGGACATGACAATGTTCGTGTATTTGACGTCGGAAACTGAGCCCGTGGCGCCGGAGATGGTCTTGATGCGGACGGCATTCTCGGAGTTGGACACGGTGGAGTGCTCGATCGTGACGTTCTTGACGGTGTTGTCGGAACGACCACCCACGGAGCCGATAGAAAGGCCGTGACCACCGATACAAGTTCCGCCGGTGAAGTAGATATTCTAAGCAGTAGACCATGGGTTAGTACCTGCCTTGATCAGAAAGGGGGCCGGAGAAAGGGGCTGATATACTTCGCCAGAGTTGATTGCGAGACAGTCGTCCTGATTGTGAACCCAGGGCTTGATGATGTTCACGCCAACCGAGCTGCCCACGTCGAACGCGTCGGTGTTGTGACCACCAAGGCTGTCGCCATCAGCGTTGTTGATGGTGATATCGGTGAGGGTGATATCGTTTGCCTCGATACTGAAGGCCATGAGAGGGGTGTTCTTGATCTCAAGTCCGGTGATGGAGGAGGAGTCCAGCCCGTGGGCGTAGAAGAACTTGGGCTTGGTCTTTCCGCTGGTTCCCTTACCATCCCACCAGCGGGAGCCATCGCAGTTGATGAGATGACCAGAGGCTCCGGTGACGGTGATGTCCGTGCCACTCATGGAGATCAGGGGGCCTGCCCATTCCTCATAGCCAAAAGTGGTGGTGCCCTCGAAGGTGACATGGGTACCGCTCCTGAGGCCAGTCAAGTCCAGGGTGGTCCCGGCAGGAACAGCAATGTTGTCGAGGACGATGGTCGAGCAGCTGGCCTTACCCGCCTTAGCCGCAGCAGCCGTGGTAAAAGTGCAACTGCCGCGAGCCTCGATAGGGGAAGCGGACACAAGCGTAGCCCCAGCAGCCAGGCTGTAGGCCATAAGAGAAGAGAAGGAAGGCATGGTGGTTTAAGGAAAGTGGTTCTATAGAGAAAGAAGATGAAAGAAAGGAAAGTGGTAGAGAGTGATGAGAGAGCGAATGAATGATCAAGGACTGTTCATCACAATCGAGCACCATGTTGACGTCTTATATAGTCCTGCTGTGTGAGCCTACCACCGGACTGCCAACTTCACAGTGCGTACTGTACCCCTTTTGTCAACTGCGAATACCTCTCACTCTGCGGGCTCACTCTACATGAAGTCCAGGCTAAGCTTTAACGGCATAGCTGAACCTTCCTGCAATCACTCGACCCTGATATCGATTGCAATGCAGAGACCATGATAGGGGTTTTCTTCGGCACACAGTACAGCCACGAACCGCTTGTCTTACCTGTAGTGGTCCATCGGCTTGCGTTTCAGGGTCTCGATGGCGCCTTCGGCTCGCCTGCAGATTCCCTGGTCTTGGGTTGATGCAACTTGGTTGGATCTAGTCAGGGTTCTAGTCGCAGTCCACTCACTGACCACTGATTAAGCAATTTTACAAGCTTCGGCCTAGCGCTCTTGGTAAAAGCTCGGCTATACCAATGTGGCCCTGCCGGCTTATGGTTCACATACTAGCCGATGACAGTCGAGTTTACTCCTTTTCATTCTCCCTTCTCAAAACACAGGCACCAAATACCGCTAGACTGAGTGACTCAATAAGAAGTAACATGCTTGGAGGAGCTCTTTCACATTTCTCTTTTGTGCCTAGGATCATTCTTAGTCTTTAGTCAGGGCCAACCTGCTGCTGACCAGCTGGTCTCAATCGAAGAAAGAAAGACCTAACCAGTACATACCATACCATACAGTCCCAGTCCCTGAAAATCATTGCAGGGTAAAATGTGGTCAAGCCTCGGTCTAAGTTTGGGTCTTGAAGAATCAATCTGGAACCCACCAGTGGCGGTCGCTAACCCTATCCGGTTAGTCAGGGAAGCACGCGGAAGCCGCTCGTCACGCCCTGCCCGCTTAGATAATCTCTCCATCGGTTCACTCGCTCATGAGGTAGGAAGAAAGAACAATTCCAGGAGATGATAATACAGTCAACCCCAGTTCTCCCGTCTCTAGAACCATGGGGGAATCTCCTCGGGTGAAGGAAGCCTTTGCGGCTGCCACCAGGTTTCTAGACCCTGTTCTCCAAAGAGGCACGCAGACCTGACCGTCCTTCCGTGCCGTTGATGTCGAGGCTAACCTAGTGTGAAGAGGAAATCCAAAAACATCGCGGAAAGTCCCTCCTGGACATTCTGCTAGGCAACAACAGCTCCGAGACATGTGGGGAAGACGTGTCGAAACGAAGGACTGTCATTGGCAAGGCCTTGGAGATCCTGAACTCCGTTCATACCGCCTTTGTGACACCACTGAACGATGCCGATAACGAGGCCCTTCGTCAGAGCACGGCAGACGCAGAAGATGCTGCACTCGAAGATGCCAAGCGACGGCGGCTCCTCCATGCGCTGCTGGACTTGATCTCTCTGGAGGGTATCTACCCCTCGCTCTCGCGGGGAGTTGCGATCCCGCTTCAGAAAAGAGTCATATCGGTCTTGCCCGCAGGCGTCATCGCCCAGCAAGATCAAGCTCCTGTCCACGAGAGGCCGCAGGACGAAACCATTCTCGAGCAGATTATAATAGCACTTACAGATATAGTATTTGACCCTCGACCGAGTATCCAGCCTGTAGTCCGTGGTCGTATATTAAGTGATATGATCAGCGGGCTTTCGGATCTAGGTTACAATTCGACAGGGTTGCCTGATGACAAAAGGCTATATCATCGTCATGGCCTTACCAAGCTGATCGAAGAGTAAGCTGCTACCAGGAGCGTATTTTTTCATTTTACTAAGCCTCGGCAGAACTCCCAGCACGGTAGTCCTTTCTACCCTCTCGCCGTTTCTTCAATCGGAGCCAGCACCATGGTTCAAATCAGTTGTCTCTGGTTTCTTATCTCGAATACCCCTCCGGCCAGACGGGGTCTTGCAGACCATGATGTTTCTAGCTTCTCAGCTCGCACCTTCCCTTGGGGTCGAGTCGCAGACCCAAGTGTCCAATGGCCCTCATTTCACCGTACAAGCAATCATGCAAACATCCCGTCTACTATCATCGGTACCACAAGGAATGGAGGCGGATGAGTACTTTAATACGATTGCTCCACAGCTGTTGGACCTGATAGATGGCGAAGACCCGGATCTGCGGAAGACCGCAGCATACGTCGTTGGTAATGGTATCTTATCGAAGCGATCGTACGGGTCTCGTGGAACGATAGGCCACTCCATCTTCTTAGTACCTATCTTTGAGGCGCTCACCGCCAGCCTCAGCTCATCTTCGAGACTATGGCTGACTCGTGAAGACGAGTCTAACGATTCATCAGGACAGGTTCTGGTGGATGAGGCAGTATTGATGCTGGCAATTGACAGACTGACCAGCCTAGTCCTCCAGCCTCCCAATCCAGGCCTCGTCAAGAGAATCGTCCATCCAGTCCTTCTTCCCCTCTGGGGACTGGTTTGCTATGCATTGGAACATCAGGAGACCGGGCTGCACGAGAAGGTGCTGACTATCTTGCAAGCATACTTTGGTCTGTCAGGCGGACTAGAGCCATTGAAGAAGCTAGTCGATAATTTGCTCTGGGATGGGGGTTCTGCCTGGACCTACGGCATACAACCTGAAAAGTCTGTATCGCTGGTCAAGCGTGATCCGGCAGAAACAAGCCGTAACATTATCCGGCTCGTGGACAATCTGCAGTCGCGGGCGAAGCTGTTCCTAAGTGTCTTAGGTGCCGATTCTAATAGCGAGGAAAGGACGGGCGATATCTTCCTCTATGTCAGCGAGCGTTGGCTTGTGAAACCCTCCAACGAATCAGCAACCCTTACCAGCATGAGACTTACACCGGAGGACGAAGACCCCTCCGATGTAATTCACAAGCTAGTTAGTGCTAAGCTGGCTGAAACCCTACTCGATAATTTCAAGGATACACTCTCTCGTCGTCCTCTTAGGGTGCTCGAACTCATCAAACAAATCATCGACGGCGAGCTCCACGGAGCATATACTCGAAAGAAGAAGAGAACCGATCTGACATCCGGGAAAATGTCCCTTTCGTCTCTAGCCAGCATTGTCAACACCGAAGAAGCCGGACAAGAAGCAGACCCGCAATCGGACTCGACTGAATCCTTGCCCGCCGTATTCAGTCTGTTGTCAACAGTCCTCGCATCCCCCGAATTCACCACCTCCCCAGAAACAGTGCCAGTACTCGAAAGCATCAAATCCAAACTTGATAAACTCATCCCCTACCTCCCTAACTCACTATCCAAGGCCGGCACAACTGCCGCCATGCTCGCCGAGATCCAACTCAGCGAGCAGTCCAGCGACAGCTCCAGTACCGCGAAAACCTCCTCCGAGATCTCCGACTTCGAAACCCACCGCCGCGCACTCACCAACCTCAACTCCGACCTCGCTCCCATCCAGGCCGAGGGCTTCTCACTCCTCTCCAGCCTGATCAAGAAATCCTCCCCGGTCCTCGACATCCCATCCACGCTCACCCTCCTCCTCTCCGTCCTCACCGACCCCTCAGACGAACCGCTCACGAACGACGAATTCGTCTACCTGAACGCCATTAACCTCATTGGCACCCTCGCCGCCCGCCACCCACGCACCGTCCTCAAAACCCTGGTCGACCGCTACATCGACCGCCCCGAAGCCAGCGGCGGGCACGTCGACCAGCGCCTGAAAATTGGCGAGGCCCTCTTGCGCACCGTCCAGGACCTCGACGAGGCCCTCACGGGCGAGCCCGCCCGCCTCCTCGGCGAAGGGATGATCACCGTTGCCGGCCGCCGCGCCCACAAGCCCGAGGCCCAGAAGGCCCGTCGCGAACGTTTCGCCGCCGATCAACGCAAGAAGGAGCGCGAGGCCCGTAAACAGGAGCGCGAAGCAAAGGAGATCATCATGCCCGCCGGCTGGTCCCTGGGACCATCACCCCAAAACACCACCGACACCAACACCAACACCAGCACCAACACCAACTCCCTCGACGACGACGACGACGACGACGACGAAGCAAACCCCACCCCCGAACAACTAGCGCACTACGAAAACATCATCGCCGCCTGGGCGGCGGGCTCGCAATCCGACGCCGAACCGGACGATCTGCGCGTGCGCGCGTCGGCCCTCTCCATCCTCGCCACCGCCATCCGTACCAACATCCTGGGCCTGGGCGTCTCGACCGTCGGCGCCGCAGTCGACCTCGCGCTGGCCACGCTGACGATGGAGCCAGAGCCCGAGAGCGCGATCCTGCGCCGCGCCAGCGTCGTGCTCCTGTCCGACGTGCTGAAGGCCATGGACACCGTGCGCGAGGAGAAAGGCGCTGACGCGCTGGGATTCGGGTTCTCGTTGGCCGAGCAGGGTACTACCGGTGAGATGGGGGGAGGCTCGACCGTGATCGGAAATATCCCGCGGATGCTGCGGACCCTGATGTTTGTGGAGAGCGGGGAGACGGATCCAATTGTGCGGGGCCATGTGCGCGTCGTCATTGAGAGTCTGGAGGCGTGGTTGGAGAAGGCTTTGCTGTGGGGGATTGGGGCATCGTCGAGGAGTGCTGAGGATGATAATGGGGCGCCAAGGATGGGGCTTGGGGATCGGATTGCGGGGCTGAGGATTGATCCTTTGGCTGGAAATAGAGAGGCGAGTCTACGACCGAGGATCGAGGAGATTGAGTAGGGGATGCGATCTTTTGCTATGGGCTGTGCTGTCTGGGTTGAAGTTGGGCTCGATTCTCGATCGGCTCGTGGCTTGTGGTCTGGACCTTTCGAGGCTTTGTCATCAATTACTTATATGTTCTCAGACTCAGAAAATCAATCGAAGATAGCATTAATGAAGTGCAGATGAACCCGATGAGAATTGATTGCCTCATAAAAGCAAAATGTAGTCAGTATTCGTTTGTCCAGTGACAAGGATTGTTTTCATATTACACACGAAACGGCAGAGTGAAAACGAAGAGCTGTCCCGTCGACCCCAGCTATCAAGTCGAACGCATCACACCATAGAAATCATTGAGCAATCACTAAAAGCAGAACCCTCCTTCCCAGTACGCCTTCCTTTGCACGACACCCAATACTGAGAGACAATAAGCATCATAAATGAGATCGTCCTTGGTTCAACCCACGGTCAGGTGAACAGAGAGTCGTGTGTTTCAGTGCTGAAATCCGCGGCCACTACCACCACCTCCTCCTCCTCCTCCTCCTCCTCCACCACCACGCCCACGCCCACCCCGGCCGCCACCGCCGCCACGGAATCTGCCGCCGCCGCCACCGCCGCGGCCTCGCCCAAAGCCCCCACGACGTGGGCCTCGATCCCGTGGTCTGAACTCACTGGGTCGAGGGCCTGCGGCCATGCGAGCTTGGCGTTCCTCGTCACTCATATGAAATTTGTTTTCGATCCCTATCAGCTCGCAGAACTGCGCGGTTTGCGGGTTAGTGTACTCGATGGGCTGTTCCTCCGTGTTAAGCGGGACAGCTGGATCGTATACTGGGGCGGTTAGGGTGAAGTTGTCGGGGACGTCCAGCTTTCCAGTCTGAACCACGTGTTCGTCCACCCATTTCTCCTCCTCCTCGATCAGCGGCTTATATACCTGATCTCCCTTGTCAGCCGGGGCCTTCGCGGCCGGGTCTCCGAGTTGGAGGTCGTCAGCGAAGACACGCGTAATTGCTAGCCATTCTTTATCGTACTGCAGACGGTAAGGGCGTTCGGCACTGATGCCTTCTTGGTCGGAGATAGCTTCGATCTCAAGCAGCTGTAAGAAATGGCGTTGAGGAAGGCATTTGTCAAGTGCCAGGAAATTAGTGATCGTGTTGGCAATTGCATCAGGCAACGGTCCGTTCAATGGGTAAGGATCGGGCTGAGGGCGGGCGAAGCTGGCAGGAAGTTGGTTGCGAAGATCTTCAGGAATGTCAGTACCACTAGCCGGCAAAGCCGGGTCAGCCTGCGCAGTAGTCTTCGAGTCATCGCTGGGGATTGCTTCGTTAGCAGAGGGCTCGTCGGTCCGTCCAGCTACAGGAGTAGAGACTTTGTGAGGAGTCGTTTCCGCATCGGAGTCACTGTCCAGGTCGAGATCGATCTCGTCGGAGTTCTTCACGGCTTCGGGTTTGTGTTCGATCTTCAGCTTCTTGTTGGCGCTATCACGTTCGATGCCGGTGTAGAGGCGGCCGGATCCGTCCTCGCTCGTCTCGATTCTTTTCCATGTCAGATCGTGCGAAACGCTCGGTTTTAGAGCTGCATACTGAAGGGATTGATCTGCCAGAAATCGAGAGTTCTCAGCCGCCTCAGCTTCAGCAGCCACGGTGTGGAAACTATTCCATGCTGAAATCTTACTCTGGTCATCACTGGGCTCATTGGGGGTTTCCTTCTCAGATGGGGCCCCATCTCCTTTGTCGACAGCCGAGGGTTGGCTTGCTGTTTCCGCGGTCCCGTGGTGGTCTGAAGGCTCTTGTTCCGCGGCAGGTCGAGCTGGGAGAGTACGCCCGGCCTCGGGATTATCATCGGGAAGCGCAAGAGCCGTGAGGATAGCACCGTCCAAGCCGAATTGGTGCGAAGCACCCGGGGCGGGAAAAGGATCGGGTAGAGGAGCTTCAGCTTTCCTTTTAGCAGCCGGGTGTTCAGGGGTAACATACTCTCCATGAGCGACTATGGCGGCGAACTTCACATGCAAGTGGGCGGAGAACCAATGGGCCGGACGTAGACGGTCAAGAACGTACTTGGCCGCAGGGTTGCCCAGTTTACCACTTTGGGAGTCCTCACGGAAGCCTCTCTTTGTGTTGAAGAGATACTCGGAATCTCCGCACAGTTCAACCTGCTTGGGCCAATCGTGAGACAAGCCCAGGTCAACCTGGGTACGAACCTGAAGTAGCTTCCGAACATCAAGCTCTCTCACGTGGTAGATGCTTGAAACATCGTCTCGATTATAAGGCAATCTCTCCGAATGCGGCTTTCTGTAGTCGTAGCCCTTCCAGATACCAGACATGCCGGCAATGCGGAGGGGACCGAACCGAAGGACGTTCGCTGCACCCAAGTAGTAAATATTCGGGGCAACCCATCCTCCGTAGTAAAGTTCGAAGAGATGATTGCCAGCCTCATGGTTACCTCCGATGAAGATAGTCAGATAGGGTGCGGTGCGTTTTCCACTGTAGTATTCGTGAAAGTCGCCCAACTCCCTGTACTTCTGAGGCACAGACATACAGGCAAGATCATTGGCATTGCGGACGGCCTGGAGATTCAGTTGAGGAAAGGATTGTTACTGAGAACAAGCGAGGCGATCGCGGAAGACTCACCTGGAAATCGCCACCTATGATGACCAAGTCAACGCCATCCCATCCTTTCAGGGCGGCAGCGTTCTCAACTGATGCATATATGTCATTGAGACAGCCATGCCCCTGCGAGAAGTGTGTTTAATAACATTGCAACCTCGAAAAGTAGCGCGCGGACCAAGCAATAGGACACTTACACAGCCTTCGAAAGCGACCCTGACGGAAGCAGGATTAGAGGTTTGTTGGGCCTCCATCGCGACTGGAGAATGGCCTACTTATGGGCCTACTTATGGCCAAGTAGCCAAGTAGATCTGGGGCAGGCGGAAGAGACGCGAAGAATCCAGCAAGCGAACACCCGCAGTTTGTTGTCCGAAAGAATTTTTGAAGACTTGAACTTCTTCCAAGTAAGATTGAGGAAGATAAGTAGCTATGAAGTGAGAGACCGGAGTCGAGAAGGTGAAAGAAAATACAAAACAAAGAAAGCGAGTGGGCGAGCACGAGAAGTGAGGGAGAGCAAAGAAAGTAGTAGTAGAAGAGGTGGAAGTACCAAAGAAGTAACACAACCAAAGGACTGACTGTTTCGGGTGTTTGATTTGCTTGCTTTGCTTGCTTTGCATCCGCCAATTCCTCTTCCTTTGCTTGGGGGGCACATTTTAACCAGTACAGGTTCCCAATTCACAACCAACCCTCTATTAATTCGCCCTTTTCCATTCACTTCAACTTCTTTCCGAACAAAAATATGCCACTCAGCGACCATGCACCTAGGCTGGAATATCTGAAGAGCTCAGCAAGCTTTTTAGAGGCCGCAAGCCCATCGACCGCAGCCCGTCTGATGTCCGTTCACAATAACATCATTCGCGATGAGTTCAAGCCTTTAAATCAGCGGCACCAAGAATTTGCATGTGGAGCATGTGGAAGTCTCCGAAACCCCAAGTCGACCAGGACTATTCAGGTCTCTAAGAGGAGAAAGAAGCTTGCAGGCTTGAGTGCTGAGGGGGCTACGGTTTTAATCTGTCTTCGCTGCCGTCGACGCACCGTCAAACCCTCTAGAAAAGAATCGATTCGCTCCAATGCTCCAGTCGTTCCAGTAACTACGGTCCCGAACGCAGTTGCGACTCAATCCTCAACGTCTACGAGGCCTTTGCCCGGCCAGCCAGTCCCTGCACCCGCGGATCAAGATAAGGCGGTTAAATCCGCGGAAAATGCCAGTAGCAAGAAAAGAGCCAAGTCTCGCAAGCAAGGTGGTCTGCAGGCACTAATGGCCTCGAAGCAACAATCTCGCCCGGCCTCGTCTCTCGATCTCTTTGATTTCTTGCAGCAGTGAAGATCACATGATTGTCGTGTATCACGTGATGGTTGCGGAAAATCGGGGACGGTCTCCGGAACACTTTGGGGCTAGCGCGGGGTTTCCTCGGCTTGTCGGTTGGTGTTCCATCGTTCCCCTCGTAACTTAACTTATCGGCTGGCTGGAAGCTCCAAACAGATCCACCAGCTGCTGCTGCTTCCTTTGTTCCTCTTGCTTTCTTGCAGCTTTTGTCCGCACCTTAGCTTGGCTACATCCTGTTCTCATATAGCCTGCTCTCTCGATTCTCGGTCGCTTCCCGTCTTGCCAGCACAATGTCGACTTACTCTCATGACGATGATGACGAGCACGATCCTCAGGCTGATGAGCTCCGGGAGACCGCTCTGGTCACGCTGGAAACGCTTATCAGTGCCTGCGGTCCCCAAATGCAGCCCTACATGCCTTACGCTATCAACGCCGCCCTACGCTACCTCAAATACGACCCCAATGTGGCAGAAATGGAAGATGAGGAAATGAGTGGCACTCAGGACGACGGCTCCGAAGATGACGTAACCGAGGACCCTGATCTGGATGACGATGAGTTCGAAGACTTTGAGGAGGAAGGAGGATACAGTGACATCGATGATATGAGTTGGAAAGTCCGCCGATGTGCTGCCAAGTTGCTGTACAGCGTTATCTCTACCTACGGCCATAGCCGCGCGCTCGATGAGGCTTCCTTGTATCAGCAGATCTCCCCCGCTCTTATCGCTCGATTCAACAAGGAGAGAGAGGAAAGCGTGAAGCTGGAAGTCGTTTCTACTATGACTGCGCTCATCCGAAAGACTGGTGAAGGCTCCATGATCATAACCTCCAATGGCTTCCTTGAGGCTGTGGGTGGCTCGAAAAACTCTAGGAAGCGCAGACGCCAGGATAGTGATGCAAGCATGATTGACTTTGAGCCAGGCATTGGCACCTCCTCCGCTGCCAGCACACCTGTTATTACTCCGGCTTCCCCTAAGTCTGGTGCGCAGGCAGAATTGGCTCGCTCCGTGCCTACGATTGTGCAGAGCGTTGTCAAGATGTGGAAACAAGCTTCCGTGCCTCTGAAGCAAGCGATTATCGCCTTACTCAGAAGCTTGGCACTGGTTCGCTACGGCGGCTTGACTGATCACCTTCAACAGATCGAAGATCCTATAGCTGACGTCCTCAAATCTTCCATTTCTAGCAGCTCCTCCGCTTCGCTTGGGGCCTCTGCGAGTACCGGTACTCTTCAGACTGAAACCCTTGGTCTCATCTCCGCCATCGCCGAAACACACACGTCGGGTGCTCTTCTGCCTTTCTTGATCGCCCTGATTCCTGGTGTTATTGGCGCTGTCAATGATCGCAACTACAAAGTCAGCAGTGAGGCACTGGGTGCCGTGGAACAGATTGTGAAAGCACTTACGCCTCCTCGAGTTGCTAGCACAACCCAGGACCTCGCAACTCAGCTGGAAAGATTGTACGATGTTGTTCTTGCGCGCATCACTGACACCAGCGCTGATCTCGAGGTTCGGCAACGTGCAATTCACGTCTTTGGCGTGCTCCTGGCGCGCACTTCCGGCGACAATGGTTCTACATTTATCTCACTCGACCGTCGTTCAAAAGGCCTCACAGTTCTGGTTGATCGCCTTCGAAATGAAACCACACGCCTTGCAGCAGTTCGGGCAGTCGATGATGTTGCTGTTCTCTGCACTCGTGACGCAGACGTTACTGCATCGTGGGTCGCCGAAGTCACAGCAGAGCTTGGAGCGCAGCTGCGGAAGTCAGATCGCGTTCTCCGGGGAGCCAGTCTGGAGGCTCTGCGCAGCCTTGCCATGAACCCCAACACAAAGGGCCATTATAACGCTAGCACCATGAAGGAGCTGGAGGACTGTCTTCTGCCACTAATAAGTGCTGAGGATTTCCATTTCCTCGCTCCCTCACTTATCATTCTCGGGAAACTTATACCTGGCAACGCCGAGCTCTTGGTCAATGACAATCTGGTTTCTGCACTTTGTTCCGTTGTCATTTCGCCCCTAGTCGGAACAGTACTTAAGGCCATGCTTCTGGTGGTGAAAGTCATCGGAGAGGCAGGTGCAGGAGCGGCATTGATGAAGAAACTACTGCGGGATGTTGGCATTAACGGTGACACCTCTGTTGTCGGGCGAGCGATTGGGACGCTTCTCGTACATGGCGGGCCTAACTTGGGTGTCAAGATGGAGGACTTTATGACCGAATTGGAGACCGCGCCGGACGCTCAGCGAAAATGCCTTGCGCTCGCGATTTTGGGCGAAATTGGTCTTCGAATGGGCGCTAGCTGTTCGCTGACTCCAGAACTTTTCATTGACCACTTCAATTCCAAGTCAGACAAGGTCCGTTTGGCTGCAGCTGCAGCTCTGGGAAATGCGGCGGCGGGCAATGTGAAGGCATACCTACCTACCATCCTGGGTGGGTTGAACAAGAGCGACCCGCAAAGCTACTTGTTGCTTCATTCGGTGAAAGAATTGTTACAGCATCCTGAAATCGTCAGACCTGACCTAGCTCCTTCCGCAGCCAAGCTTTGGCAGGCCCTGCTGGTGGTCTCCGAGCTGGAAGACAACCGTGCTGTTGGCGCGGAATGTGTTGGTCGCCTGGCCCTTATCGATCCCAGTGCCTACATCCCCTTATTCCAGGTAACCTTCCACCTCAAAACCTTCCCCCTCAAGTCGGAGCGTGGCAGGACCTAACGATGAACATAGGATCATTTCTCCAACCCGGACGCCAGTATCCGTGGTGTTGTCATCTCTGCCTTCCGTTACACTCTCTCCGACTCCCGAGATACCTACAACGATGTCCTCCGACCCACCATCGTCCCTCTTCTCGTCAACATGCTCAGTGACCCAGACCTGGGTAACCATCGCCTCGCTCTGACCACGCTGAATTCCGCCATCCACAACAAGATGGACATCCTCCTTCCCCACCTCAATGAACTCCTCCCCGCCGTTTTCGAGGACGCTAAGCTCAAACCTGAACTAATCCGCGAAGTACAAATGGGCCCGTTCAAACACCGCGTCGACGACGGCCTGGAACTCCGCAAGGTAAGCCGCACACAACCTCATTCATACACCTCTTTTCCCCACTCTACCCTTTCCTTTCCTACGAGCCAGATTCAAACTGACAGCTCTTCTGAAAAGTCCGCCTATGAGACGCTATACGCTTCCCTCGACACAACCTTCACCCTCCACCACATCGGCGAATTCTTCGACCGCATCCTCGCCGGCATCGACGACGAGCAGGACATCCGCACCATCTCCAACCTGATGACCTCGAAGCTCATCCACATCGCGCCCGAGGAGACCCAGCGCCGCCTCGACGCCCTCTCGGAGCGCTACACCGCCATCCTGTCCTTCAAGCCCAAGGAGAACGCCGTCAAGCAGGAGCTCGAGAAGGCGCAGGAGGCCTCGCTGGGCGTGCTCAAGATCAGCCGCGAGTTGAGCAAGGCCTTCCCCGGCGCCGAGGTCGCGGGAGACCACCACAAGTGGAAGGCCTATGTGGAGTGGACCCGGAAGACCTTCACCGCCCAGATGAAGACCCTCGAGGCAGAAGCGTAGTGTCCGTCGTTCCTGGCCTCGACCGCTCTATCTGAACGTTGAATGGCTCGCTAATGCCGGCCGACAGAAGGCCTGGAATTACCTTCGCAGCTTCTAGATCGCATAAGCAGAATCATAATCACAAATTACAAGGTGCGCATCATCTAGACCAGACGTATACGTTGACATTAGTCGGCAAGTGGTCAATTCTTAATTCAAAGACATTAGCTACGTAGGTTTTGGAAGAAGTCCTCGTCTACGCATTACACAGCAAGAGCTTCCTTTCCAAGTCATGCAGTGAGGTGAGAGAAAATGATTAGAATTGTATTAGAACAGGTACCAACGAAATGCAATGCACAACAAAAGCCCGGGGGTAGTCCGCTCGAAAGTCAAATGCTCAAGTCACACAACTCCTCGTATGCAAGCCTTCTGGGTCAAAAAAAAATAGAGTGTGACGCCATCCATCCAACGTGAAGATCGACACTGAGTAAAGAAATGTGTACACGAAATAGAATAGAAAAGCAACCCACCTTCAAGGGCCACCAAACTCCGTATCCTGCAAGATTAATGTCGCCGGTCCCATGCCGTGATCGCCTTCTTCCGGAGCACACCAAGCTTTTCGAGTTTGGCCCAAGCCCGGTCCATGTCAGAGCCGTCTTCAAGAGACGGCCGTAGTTCCAATCCATCAAGGATTTTGATGGACCCTCCACTGGCTGCATAAAGCATTAATTCGAAGATACTGCGCCGCAACCGTGTTGACTCGTCCAAGTGAGACAGGTGCTTCTGGTCTGCCACAGGATCCGCTAATGGAAGGGTATAGGGATCATGGATTTCGAGTTCTTTTATGGCATCCGACTTATCATCTTCCCTCACAGCAACCGATGAATTCAGGTCGAAATCCTTGAATTCGGCCAGAGCCGATGGAATGTCCAAGCTGGCATTGCGCTGGGGGCGGTCCTCCCTGATTTTAAGCTTCTTTGTGTTGGCTGTGCCGCTCTTGATGACTGCAGTTGGATAGAACCGGAGCGTAAGCGGGTTTCCTCGGGTATCGATTTTCTGGAGAGAGCAGAGTCTCCCTTTGTTAGTCCGTCCGATGCGACCCAGGACTTGACAGAGACGCCTGAGTCTGGTAATGTTGTTGCCAGCAATCGTCAGTCTGGAGAGACATTTCATGCCCACCAGTTCGTTGACTTCCTTGAGTGAGTTAAAGTTCATGTTCAAGACCATCACATTGGGAAAGCTTGATGCGAAATCTTCTGGAAGGTCTTGTAAGCTGCATGAAGCAATGTCCAGGAGCTGCAGGCTCAGAAGGGCGTTGGATGGTGCAAGACAGCGCGGTGCCAGCCTATTAGAGGAAAGAAATACTTTGCGTATGTCTTGCGCCAAGCCCAAGTCAATATCAAATAGACCGCCATTGCTACCACTCATCTGCTCTCGAGCAGACAGGACTTCCAGTGAGTGACATGTAGCGAGCCCAGAAATCGTACTCAAAAAGTTCTGGTCCGCGTAAAGGAGTGTCAACGACGGGAACATCGAGACGTCAAGGCTGCGCAATACATTGTTCGAGATTTTGAGCGAGTGGAGATTGAAAAGAGCCGCTGACGCAGCAAACTCATACAGTCTGTTATAACGAAGGTCGACCGTTGCGAGAGATGAGAGGGAGCCGATGTTGCGTATAGACGTGAGCTGGTTGTGGCTAAGATCCAAGGTCTCGAGCCGAGTCCTGTTGGCGCGCGAAAAGTGTTAGCTACTTTCAACAATGGCATCCAAGCTCTGAACCACTTACAGCTCCGCTCGACCAAAGTCAAGCTCCTCAAGTTCATTGTTCCTGAGTTGCAAACTTAACAATCCATCCAAGTCATAGATGCCGCTGATGTCCTTGATGTTGTTGTCATTGGCTCTGAGCTCCCGGAGGTGAATCAAATTGCTGAATGCACCAAGACTCTCCAATCTATTGCCAGATACATCCAGATATTGCAGGTTCGTCAAGTGGCCCCAAGCCGTAAGGTTGGAGAGACAATTATCTTGGATATTGAGTATCCTAACACTTTGAGGTACGCCACTTAATTGGCCTATATCGTTGCCGCAGACGTCCAGCTCTTCAAGACAAGGGCAGTAGTCACACAGTTTATGGAGTGTAATCAGGCCTTTGTGTCGAAGAATCAAACGGCGAACGTTCTCCCAGTGCGGCTCCCACGGCTCCGCCTCGGTAATATGTTTAAGCAGTTCTTCCGTTGCCAGTGCGAAAGTTCCATGGACCTGGCGCAGTGATGTAGGATGAGTTCGCTGTGCAACATAGCTTACCTCCAGGTGAAGGGACGGGTCAATCTGATCAACGGTGAAGTCGGGCAAGGAGCTGAGGTGAAAACTGTGAGCTGTTTCTAGGCCATTATTTTCAAGGCATACCAACGATGTATCCGCGTTCCTTTGCGAGGTCCAATCGATCGAGCCCATGTCTCTCCGAACCAGACTTAGAGCCTCGGGAAATTCCTCTTCCTTTGTCCCTTTGCCAGGAGTGAACGATTGACGAGTCAAGGATGTCTTATTGTCGGGTGATTCAGGTTGGGGTAACAATAAGCTCTTCTGAGCTTGTGTGAAGCCCAAAGGACTGTTGCCTGGTACGTTGGAATTCGTATGAGGCTGCAGGTTGCCTCGGGCTTGCAGAAGCTTTGCAGGACTCTCTGCGTCGCTGTATGCAACGTGGGAGACAAGGGGGGACGAAAAGCTTATTGTCACAACACGAGCTTGCTGGCGGCCATTCCCCAAACGTTGGGGTGGCTTCGATAGTCGTCCTTCATGAAGCTGAATCTCATGCTCCACCTCGCTGATAGTTTTGCTCGTTTTGCGGGCGTCTGTACCCCAAGAGGTTGCTTTGGTTTCGGAGTCGGAAACGTTGGAATTGATGGGTGTTTTGGACCGCACTGAGCTGCCGTCGACCGAAGTGCCTGTATCTCTGAATTGTGACTGGCGCATCGATGATTTCGTTGAAAAACGAGGTGAGCTTAGTGGACTCGAGTGGTGATCATTCTCGAGCCGAATAGAGTCCTTTGTTCTTTCGGGTGAGGTGGAGCTCTGCATTCGCATCATCTCTTGCAATTCATCAACACTAAGGTCAGGAATGTCCTTGAACGGATCGTCTTCACTATCTTCGCCCTTGGGCTTCTCGGAAGTTGGTTTGGGTTTCTCCCGAACCCACTGATTCTTGTCCCGGTCATAGGTCAGCCCATTCACCTGTTCGGGTATAAGTCGCGAGACGACATCGGATGAGAGAACACCCTTTGCATGCGAGCTCTGTGAAGAGCCGGTGGGAACTGAGCGCGCGCTGAGGCTCTTGGACGATACTTGCGTATTGATAGTCAAAAGTTCGGGCAGGTCGTCATCCTCCTCAGGCTCACCAGCCGAGAATCCATCACGCCCGCGGAAGTCTAGGTCAGCCGACTGCAGGTCGAGCTCATGGCTCTCACCTTCTTCTGTTTCCGCACCTTGTAGAACGCTGCTGTTCTCATTCGGTTGATCTTGGTCTTGGTGCAGATTCAGAGACATGGCGGATGCGTTGACCCCAAACTCCTGGTCATCAACCTCCTGAAACTTCTTGAGATGGCTCAGGATCCGTGGGCTCTGTTGTTGGGGCTCCCTCAGTCTCCGCATGTCGGTCCCTTCGCGACTTGGAGGCCGCGAAAATTCCTCCCGAGTCGATTCGTCTTCATAGCTCCCGCTTTCGTCAATATCTTCCTCGGCGTCAGATTCCTCTACGCTAGACAGACCGCCTGCGGACCTGCCTTTGGATCGAATAATGTCCATAATCTTGGTCGCTTCGTTCAGGAAGTCTTGGGTGGTGATTGAGCCCTTACGGCCACCTTCATTGATACCATTCACTCTTACCATGGGTATTGCGCTGTCCTCGGGAGAGCCTAGGTCAATGGAATCGGAATACCCAGCCCGCGAGTAAGCCTTGCCTGATGACGGCCTTTTTCGTGAAGCAGACCGCCCTTGACTTGTGGGTGGAGTTCGCGGTCGAGAGGACGGTCTGGAGTGGAGTGAGAATTGATGATCTTGATCTTCATCACATCTCACTCCTTGCTGGGCCAAGCTCCGCTGGAGCAAGGACATATTATCTGGATCCTGAGTGGTACTTTCAGCAGGATCTTGTCTCGAGTTGTAAGACCTAAGGAAGGTTCTGCGCCTCTTGGGGGTTGGGTCTTTGGCAGGCGTGTTCGGCGTTGTATCGGTCTCTGACGGGTACATCTCCTCTACTCTTGCCAGCCCTTGGTTTCTTATAGCCTTGGAACTTGAGGTGATGTCTGACAAAGCCGTAGACCTCGAGCCCCTGTTCGACTTGTTGAAGTCGGAGCTATGGCTGTTCTGTCTATACGAGCGGCGCCGAAGGAATCTTCGCTCAATGGACTGTCGTCGCGGCGGTTCATGAGTAGACTCCACTGTCTCGCTATTCAGGAATTTGGGTTCATACGGACTTGTGTCCGAAAAGTCAAAATTGTCCAGCTGGCCGTCACCAAACTTGTTGATACGCGGGGTCGGGGTGTTGCGCGACCGCGGTCTTTCATGTCGACGTGAAGATGGCTCACCCAGAACTTCATGATTCACGGTAAGAAAACTTCTTCCTTCGCCTTTGCGACGAGCTTCCTCTGATGGCGAGTCTGGTTCATCATCCTCGGACATACCCCCAAATGTCTCTTCAAACTGGCTCATCCTGCGCAAAAGGCGGTTGTTGGTGAAGGTATCATGGGTTCCAAAGAGCTTGAGCGGGCTTCCAGAGGAGGGCATGGCTTCTGGTTTCGAGTGATCGGCACTGAATTGCAAGAGCTTCGACGCACCAACATGGGCAGATGAGGGCCTAGGGAGCGTCGGTGGGTCGGTTAGAGGATTGGGTTTTTGGTAGAATGGGGGGGAGCTCCGGATTCTGGAGCTGGCAGGAAGAAACGGTGAGAGTCGCTCAGAGGGGAAGGTGGGCGGGGAGAGACGGATTCTTTGGAAAGAACCTTCGTTCACATCCTCTTCCCTCCGCAAGTTTGCGAAGGCTCCTCTTCCGCGGTAATCGAGCGTCCCCATGGAGAGGTCTTTTGGTAAAGAATGACTCGTGACATCGAGCAAGTCATCCTCCGGCATGGTATCCACCGCGATCTCTGGCTGTGGGTGAATCAACAGGCTGTCACTCGCTCGAGATTCCGGTCGGTCCCAGGGTGAAAGGTGTAGTCTCTCGAGCTTGTTTGTCACCTGTTTCAGTGCCGATTTGATGACCTCCGACGTAGTCTGTCCGTCAACTGTGTTCGTGCGTGTGAACGTGATTGGTGTTATGTCTTCGTTGCGCAAATCCTCCATGCCGCTTGCAGTTCTTTGTTGTATGTCGGCGAAGGAAACGTCGAGGTGTTCGCTATCTTCTGGTGGGGATCGCTTCGATTCTTTGCTCATGGATAGCGTCCTACTGCGCGAATCTGGCGACCCTGGCGACCCTGGCGATCCTGGCGATCCCGGTGACCCTGGTGATCCTGGCAAAGCTGGCGGACTGCTCCGAGCCTCTTCCTGCTTCGGTGACGACTTCGGACTGTGGCTCACTGAATCTTCGTCGTCGTATGCGCCAATCGATGAAGGATCTTGGAAACTGGCATCGTCATAACCTAGTGGGGTCGTAAAGTGCCACATACTGTCAGACTGTTTCAATCGCGATAGCGCCTCCTCGTGCGTCTTTTCAGTGCCCGGGGTCGGAGGTTTGAAAACACTCTCCAGCCCGATCGGCGCAAACAAGTCGCGCTGCTCCCCGGCGGCGATGTTTCCATGCACCAGTCTTCTCCTCCATTCCGGGGTGCCTTCCTTGCCCTTGCCCTTCTTTGGTCTAACTTGAACCGTGCTTTGTTGCTCGGATTCACCGGAGACGTTCGAAACCGATCGCAACGGCGACCTCGTGTCCATGGCAGACGACTGTTTACGGAGCGAGGGCGGATTCGGGATCGGTTTCGGGCTGCTTTTGTTGGACTTCTCCGGGGGAGGGAGCGGCGATCGCAGCTTGGAGGGGGTCTTGGGGGTACGAGGGGTCTTAGGTGTGGGTGGTTCTCGTTTGATGAAGTGGCACGGTCTGGAAACTTTCTTTCTGAAAGACTCAAGAGAAGGGCCGACGGAGCGACGCGCGGGAACAGGAATGCGACTAGGAGAGTTTTGTAGGCTAGACCGTCGGGAATGGGTGAATGATCGGGATAGGATTGGACTGGTGGGAGTGCCGGGCGTTCCAGGAGTTCCAGATGCAGGGACTGGCACCCAGTCGTCTGTAAGATTCTCCAGCCATGGAGGGTTGTTGCTCATTTTCTGAACGGTCTGCGATCACCACCAAAGCTGGGGGGTGAAAGTGAAGGAGGGGGTGGTTGTCTCGGAGGTTGGGTGGAGGGCAAGCTGGGGCAGCGCGTCGCGATTCACAATGTCCGTGAATGCAAGCACAGCGGAAATTAACAGCTGCAGGGCGACCATGGGTCAAGGAACCCTCATCCAAGAATAGAAATAGAGGAATAAACCAGAGGCATTGAACACCACCAACAATGAAGGCGTAAAAGGATGTTGCGGGAACATGCGAGACAGAGCGACACAGAATAAGGTGGGAATAATCAATAGGTAAATTATTGTTTGATGGACGTCGATGCGGGAGTAATATTGATAACAGGTGTAGATGTGGTCGGGGCAACCTTACCGTATTTAATACCGGGCGGGTTAGTTTTACTTCCTACTCATCTACTTTGCTACTGTTTTGAGTCTACAGACGACTTATTATCTTTCGATCTTTCCAATTTCCAATTGCCAATCTACGTACTCCGTGCTACTTTTCTTTTTCTTCCCCGCCACGATGGAACTGTCAGCTTAATCACTTTATCCACTTTTTTTTTATCTCCCCGTGATAAATCACAGGTGGCACGCATGTGCTTCCCCGAGACCGTGCTCGTCCCCTACTTCGCCCCCCCCCCCCCACCCTTCGAGGGGAAATGATCAGTCTCATGCCTTGCTTGGGCGCGATCCATTTTCTTTAGCTGTACTCCGTAGGCTACTGCAGTACTGTACAGTACCTACAGTATTCGAGTGCTGTACGGCGTAAATTACAACCTAAGAGCCGAAAGCTTGGATTCTGGTGCGTTGGCATTGGACCCTCTCCAACCAATTGCAGCTTCAAGTCGGACATAGCTAACGAGCACCTTGTCTAGCTCATATACAGTACTTCGAGACACATGCTCAGCAGTGCATACTGCAATCTTCCCTATTAGACTTCCTGTTGACATTGTATCAACGCGAAGGACCGATGAGGGAAGATCCCAGGCAAACCCTGCAAGGTTGCAGGTTAGGTGTTTCAGGTTGCTCGACACAATTTGCCCAAAAGTATGGCGTTCTTTCATGCACAAAACCAACCTCTTGTCTTGGGTCAGGAAGAAACCATCCGCAAGATGGGCACAAAACTGGCTTTTCCTTGCTATCGCGAGCGTTGAATGAGCTAGTAGGCAGCTATCAAGAACCCAGCGAGTTCTAGGGCTAATAGGACCTTGTATACAGCACACGATTGGCCAAAGGATTGAAGCCGATTGGGTTAGATCCCTGTATACTCCGTCGACAATTATGAAGTTGGCCATAAATATAATCATGGATGTTCAATAGACTATCAGCCTCTGCCCAACAACAACCATGGCTGGCATCAAAAATACAATGCCGAAAAGGGTAAGTAACTAGTCAACAATTGACGGGTGCTGACATAATCCACGCCAACGACACGTTGCTGGGGCATCCACTCAATCCACGCGTTAAGTGGTTTTTCTTCTCGCGTGACAGCCAGCCAGCCAGCCAGCCAGCAAACCAGCAGCCTAGACACTTCTACCAGTTTGGAGTTGAAGAGGAAAGGATGATGTCCTGACAATCACTTAATGTCGGAAGCTATGAGGGTCACTCTACAATACGCAAATCCCCCACCCTCCGCCAGATGCAGCCAGTGCCAAGCTGCTGCACCTTCGAATTCCCCCTATCCGAACGATCAATGAATGCATCATTTCACCGATGCCACCTCGTCGCCCAATATCCCCGCTCTCCTTCAATTCATGCTCGCTACCCCCGCCAGACAATGACCTCGACACTCTTGTTGCCTCCGATGACGATTTAGATTCTACTGAGCGTCTGGCTCGACGTCGGAGAATTGAGAAGCTTGCTGAAGCCTATCTACAAGGCTCACCGCTTTTTCTTTTGTCTGCATCGCTTCGAGGACCTTTCGACAATGGATGGGTCAATCCTTGGAGAAAGGATCGGCGCAGGCATGACGGATTGGAGAGTAACGAGGATGAGAATCAAAAACGACCAGTGATCCCGGAGACGAATCCGCGAAAACGACCACTATACCACCACGAGTCCCGTAAAACACAACGCACGCAACTTTCCACGCAACATTCCGAGATAACTCCAAACCTGGAATCCGGAAAGACTTCGATCACAGAATCTTCTAACAAACGAGCGCGGGGTAATAGCAGAGATATAAGAATTACAAGCGCCACACCAAAAGATACATTTGTCTCCAAGGGCCAACCGTCTCCACACGCAAACAGAGCTTGGCTAAAGAAGGACTGTGCCGGAATTGGGTTTCGAACGGTCAATCCGCCGACATCTCCTACGGCAACTATATCGTCTCGTCGCCAGGGAGCAAAGGACAATACCATACAAGTACCCGCAACTGACTACCGGTGGCCAGTTAGGGATCATCGTAAAGATCTTGATCATTTGCGTGAAGAAAAACGTGATGTTCATCGTGTACCGGACAGTGTCAAGATTGCTGCCTTCAAGGAGCAGCGCAGTAGTCAATCTGAACCTCAAGGAATTTCGTCCGATGCAGCAAACCAGGAAGGATCGCTCTATGTCCTTTCCTCGTCCTCGCACCTGCCGAAATTTGAGTACCGTCGCGCAAAGACCTCCAGTCACGGCAAGCAGGAGCCCGCGTCTACGTCTGCGCATCAGGAGCAAGAAGAAAGCCCCAATCACATAAATATGGCTGAGGACGACAACCATCAATGTCATGAAAATCAACCCTCGCACGGCGCGTCTCTGAACGAGGCTATCCGACTCGACTCGCCCGATCCCCCTGCCGCAGATGAGAAAGGTGCACATGCTTCTCAGCCGCAGGTTACAAGTAAAGTGCAGGTTACAGGTGCTGCTACGTCGCAATTCATCTCACCGGCACAGAGGGCACCGGACAACATTGATCATGTAGCGGCAAATGTGAGTGACAAACTACCCTCAGCGCAACATAACCCCTCGGATCCAGCCATCACGCACAACGCTACCTCGCTACATACGATTTCTGCCGCAAAGGCTCATACTCAGAGTGACGAAGAGACTATCCCCGACCCGCAATTTAATACGCAGGCCGCTCTTCTTCACGCCCAGATGTCATTTCAGAAAGATCTTGAAAGCCCAGAACATACTCCTGGTCGGGCTGCAAACCCAGGTTCAGTATCTCGCAATGATATCACGCCGTTTTGCAGAGTGGCTACACCCGGTGGGTTCGAGAACTTGCCAGGCAACAAGGCCCTCGGGACGATGAAAGGCCCCATGATGAGCACACAATACCTCATTGACGCCGTCACGCCATTCACGCTCAGTACTGAGAAGAGGTCTAAACCTCGATTTTTGACTCCACAAGATCCTGAGTTTAGCACTAAGCCAAAAAGATCTTCTTTCGCGGGGGCGTTATCGTCGCCCGTCCCGGACTATGCCAACGATGAGAGTTTGAATATTGTATCATCTCAGCCGCCGGATCATGCGGATCTTTTAGATCCGACTCAGGGAGAAGAATTGGAGATTACCTTCTCCGGGACCATGCCCACCACGGGTGAGGACGGTCAGGGAGGTGCGATGGGTGTTGAAAGTTTCAACCTCAACGAAGCAATTGCTGAGGCCGGGAGCTGGTTGAAGGAAAGCTTCGACATAGGTCAGGAAATCAAGCGATGCGCACGCCCGAATAAGAAAGGGTCACCCTCTGGCATTGGCCGGTCAGCAGTAAGCCTCGATGCTTAGGTACATCATCGATGGTTACTTGATTTTGAAGACGATCACGGCAATCACTTGCTTGTGCGCCATGAGGCGGTCTTGGTTCTCTGGTGGTCTTCGTGTACTTTGGGCTTTTTCTTTATTTATCTTTTTGCGGGCATAGCTTTCATGCGGGCTTCATAGCGACATAGATGCACATTATGAGATACGATATCCTTGTGAATATAGTTTATTGAACACTTGACGTCTTTTCTCTCTGATTTCTCTTCCCATGCACTTCGGAGTGGTTTGAGACCATTGAGTATTGATTGAGTGTGGTGTGATCCATTTTGAGTAACCTAGATTTGTGCCTGCAAGAATATGCAAATATGTCACCCTTATGAGCCCATCACACAATTGACATGAAAGGCAAGGATGGATCAAGAGCGTAGTTCCTAGTTCGATAACAGATAAGTGAAAGTGCTGCACCTAAGCTTGCAACTTGTTGCAGTGCACTCAGTGCTCCACGAAAGCAAAAGATGTAAACAATCAGAGAAGCTCCAAGGATGACCTCACAGTCGGAGATACAGGCGGGCGGGCGGAATTAGCGCGGCGGAGCTCATCTGGCGGATGGAGACTAGTCGACGGCCTACGCAAGTCAATGTCACTCCAGCCTGCACTTCCTCCCCCATCCCGCCAACCGCTCACCTCCTCAGTCCATGGCGAGGGCTGTGTCCAAATGGCTTTGACATCAGTGAGACTGAACGCTCCATAATCTAGCTCCTCAGCTTCACCATATGTTACTAATGCGCCCTGAAATAGTGGAAAGCGTTCAACTTCTTCGATGTCTCGTCGGTGAAGCTCCCGGAGGAGAGCTCATCTATTATCGGTGTATGTCCCCCGTGCTTTTGTTCGCGTCCGATCTCGTCGCCCTATTTGCTGATACATGCGTCCAACATAGTCTGATATTCTCTCCCTCTGCTCTGGCTCCGCCCACCTTTTCCTCGGCTCCAACGATGGCTATGTTCACATCATCTCCTCGTCTTTCAAACTCGTCCGCTCGTTCAAGGCATCCGAGAACGGCTCGATCGCACACATCAAGCAGATAGACGGGTCCTCCTTGCTGTTGACCATCGCGGAAGATCTCCCGAACGAGCCGATATTGAAGGTCTGGGCCCTCGATAAGATCGAGAAGAAGACCGGTGCCCCACGATGCCTGTCGACGACGTCCATCCAGAATGCGAGGAGGATATTTCCTGTATGTGCTCTACACTATACTTTATGATGCGAGGACACAGTATTGATGGTTTAGGTTTCTGCGTTCACTGCTCTGGACGATCTGTCCCAGGTTGCAGTTGGATTTGCGAATGGGTCTGTCACGATCATCCGCGGTGACCTGATTCATGACCGCGGAGCAAGGCAGCGCATTGTGTTTGAGTCGGAGGAACCAGTGACGGGACTCGAGGTACAAAGTGGCCCGGTCGCGACCTTATATATCTCGACCACTAGCCGAATGCTGGCCCAGATCATCTCTGGCAGAGGTCAGGGCCAACCGGCGCGCATCCTGGATGACACGGGCTGTGCCGTTGGCTGCAT